ATTTTCTAGGAGGCCAAAGTAGTTGGACTGGAGAAAGGAAACAAACTGGGCTGCTCTAGGAAGCATTGGGTAATGCTGACCTTATTTTCAGTGTGGTGAAAGACCACTGAATAACTAAAAACATAAGGGAAGCATTCTTACTGCTTTTGTTAGTGTCTGTTTAGAGTCAGGGTCTTGCTACAGTCCTGGCTAGGCTGGAACTTTCTCTGCTAACTTGGTGTGCTACTCGTGTTTCTAATGCTGGGATGACTGGTGTGCATCATACCAGCTCTTATTTACTTTCTGAGGAATCATCACTAGGTGGATGGTATGGCGAGGGTAAGAGGCAGAGAGCCAAGTCAGAGAGCTCTGTGATAGAGATGTCAGTGGCCAGGGAAGACACATTTTTTGTTGTTTTGGTGACAAGGTTTCTTTATATAATAGTCCTGGCTGTCCTGGAACTTGCTCTGTAGACCAGACTAGCCCTGAACTCATGGATCTGCCTGCCTCTGCCTCCTGTGTTGGGATTAAAGACGTGGGCCATCATTCCTGGCTTGGGAAGGCAGATTTTAAAAAGTTATTTTACTTGGGAGTTTTGGGGACAGCTGGTGAAGAAAGTTTCATAGCTGAAGATGTTCATTCTCTGGCTCCGACCACCTTGCCACCTACACCTGAGAGAGTCACATGTCCTGCGTCACTGGTGTGGCCACCTCCCCAACCTGCCGGCATATATTCTTAATGATGCTTTTTCCTCCAAGATAGTCAGGACATACACACGTAGGGTACCGCTCATTCTGCTTTCCCTCGGCTCTCACCCACAACCACAGATCCATTCTCTTCTGGCACAAAAGCTACCATTCTTCTGCCAGTACATCCAAGCTGTTTCTAGACACCCGCACTACCTCTGCTCACACATCAGACTTCAGGCACTTCTTACACTATTCACATTTTTTTCAAGTCTCCAACATCACTTTCTTGGCATCTTCTGACAATTCTTAAGACTGACTTCTGATATTCTCCTTGGGCTTTTGACAGTGCAGCACTGTTACTTGTACCACGCTGCTTCATGTCATTTGTCTCCTGCAGATTCTACAGGAATCTGCTGCAGTCCAATGCACAGGGCTGTGCTCATATTGCATATATGTAAGAAGTGGAATGAACAACTTAAGTCTTTTCTACAAATATGGAACTTCCCTAGTCTGCTGGTCATGGTGCTTATACCCTGAAATATTAATTTCTGATGCTTCAGACATACACAGAACTCTCATCTCCACTCCAGGGGTACCATTTGGATTCTCACAGATCTACTCTCCTTGTCCTGATGGACTAACCTAATTTGTGTGGTGACTCAACAAAGTGAGCCAGGACGAGCACACTTGTGTTCGGGAAGCTGTGCCTCGAGGCACGAAGTGATTGTTCCCATGTTCCCCCTGCCTCAGTTGATGCTCATCATCCAAATCTCCTGTCCCTTACCGGTGCTGAGATTGGTCACATTTTCATTTATCCTTTCACGTGGGCTCACAGCATGCCTTTCGTTTTAAATTTCCTATTCTTTTTGCTCATGGTAAGTGAAATCGTTTTATCTATATTCTTTTAATGGCACTTCCACATTACACAAGACTTAGTCCTTTTTAGAAAACGGAAAACGAGGGAGTCCATGTGCCGCAATTTTAAAGGAGTAACTACGTTTTGTAAACAACAGCCTCACTTTCCTGTCGCCAAGTCCGAACATTCAGTACTTCAGTCCCTAATGCACAATCGATCACCTTTATGCTTCCCACAGTGAGAATGAAGGATTTCATTTTGAAGTAATAAATTTGGTTAAACGCCATGTTGTTCAAGAACTCCACTTGTGGAGTTCGAGGAGGCAGAGACACTGAATTTAGGCCCTATAGTTGAACAGTTTAAGTTGACATAAAAAACAATATGAAGTACAGAGACATAAAAGTGGTAGTTGTAATGAGTGTCTCAGGAAATGGGGACACAACTTACTTCTGTATTTGAGAAAGTATTCTATCCTGTGCAGAGTTTTCCCCCTTTTATGAAGACAAACTAAAACTTACATGGTCAATGCAGTTCTTTTGAATAGCTCCAGGTTGAAATGCCATTGGACACCCAAAGCACATTATTAAAATGACTTGTCTTGCTCCTGTAACAGAGAATATGGCAGAAACAACCTGGAAAGGGAAGGCTTTGCTAGGTTCACTGCTTAAGGATATAATCTATCAGAGGGGAGGTGTGGTGGTAGAAGTTCCTGGCTGTGTCCTCAGAAGTGTGAGTTGGTCGATTACATTCTGGAGGCAGCTGAGAGCTTAGGTCTGAAGCAGAACCAACTACCCTCACTCCTTGCCTCCCAGTGACCCATGCCCTCCATGTGGGCCCCACATCCTAAAGGTTCCACACACACCACCACCAATGCAGTCCCACCTCCTAGAAATCAAGTGGGACTCCAACACTTGGGGCATTTCATTTAGGCTCTAGCATCTTCTTTTAGTTGCTAGGATTAAGACTGTCCTCCAAAATGTCTCTTCTGTTGGAGAGGAAAAATAACTACAGTGTGCCTGTTATTGCTATGAAATAGTCTATGGGAAAGTAGGGCAGGCACAGGGAAGAGAATGCTGGTGTGCAGAGGCAGGGCACAGGTGCCCATCTGATCAAAACAGCAAGGAAGGACGGGACAGTGTAAAAAGAAGGAACAAAGAATGCCTGACAGCCCTAAGATCTGCAAGGTGCAGTGGGGATGGGGTATCAAAAGACAGACTGCACAGGAAGGCACCAGGATATGGAAGGACTTGTGGGGTACAGCAAGGTCTTTGCTCTTACCAACATGTGTTGGAGGGCTATGAGCAGAGGACAGGCATGATCTCAGCATTAAAATGCTCATGCGGTCTGTTGTGTTGAGAAGACTGGGAGATGGGGGAGGTAATGTGCAGGTTAATGGAGGGATTTTCAATTAGCCACATGGTCACAAGAGACACAAAGCCCTCAGTGTAGTGTCCTCACTAAGCCAGGCTGGTCAGTGAGTACAGTGTATTCAACATAATTTCCATGTATGGATTACTCGGGATAGCTTTATCAGGATGAAACTCAATCTGAGGCATCTTTGTTCACAGTTCTATCTTTATCACTTTTACTGCGCCAAGCTACAATCACTGCTTTTCTAGATTATTCCCACTGTGCTGCCCAGTGCCCAGGGAGAGGGATGTACTGCAAATAGTTAGCCTTGGAGAAGATCCAAACTTGAAATTCAGAATTTTATTGAATGTTATCATAAAGCTAAACTACAGACCATATTTATATTTTAAGGACAGCCAACAAGACTTATATCTGAAATAGACATACGAGCATGTGAGAAAAGATAGTGCTGGATTTTGTCTGGCCCTCTGGCGGGGTAGACAGCTATCCTGGGACACGGTTCAGTCTGGAGGACCAGAGAGTAGACACTGGTCTGGGATAGTTGCACTCACCATAACCAATAGCAAGAGGTCACTTAGGACAGGTGGGTCTGGACTGGAAATGTTGGGATCACCAGCCTAACAAAGTCACACACCTGCACGACATTATCCACGAGCAATGTGACAGGTCCACTCTCAAGAGCTTCCATTCTATAGGACAGACTTGGTCAGTCAGGTGATAAACGCTACACAGCAAAACAAAGCTGAGGTACGGGACAGAGAAAGCTGGCAAGTACAATCACATGGATGTCATCTGTAACAGATGCAATCACATAAAGGAAATGGAAGCCCAGGAAGCAAGCAAGCCAGGTATGCCAACCTGGCAGCCACCACCACGTTTTCACACAAGACTGGAGAGGCTCACTTGGGGAGCGGGTGATGATGGTGAAATTCGGGAAATGTGAGAACATAGCCCCTGGTTCTGGCATCAGTGTGGAATGTGTTATAATCGGTTTTGGTTCTGGAACTCCAAGGAGGAAAAGGAGATAGGCTGTCAGTACAGCAAGCCCCTCCCTCAAGTTACTTAAGTGATGCTGTGGCTCAGTCTCTTCCTCACTGCGGAGCTGAGTGGCCATGGAGTAGTCTTTTCTAAGGTTTGTTTTTGTTGTTTTTTAAGAGTGTTTTGCCCGAGTGTACATAACATGTATACCACGTGTGTGCAGTACCCATGGAGGCCAGAAGGGGGCATCTGGGACTGTAGTTACAAATGGCTGTGCTCTGACATGAGTGCCAGGCATTGAATCTGGGTCCAGAGCTCTGAACTGCTCTGTCATCTCTTCAGGCCCACAGAATGGTCTTCTTAACACATTTCTGACTGATGTCTCAGAACTAGGGGAGTGTGCTGAAAAGGAGCCCCATTTCCAATCTCTCCAAGTCCTACTGAATCATCTCTGGAACTAGATTCTGAGGGGGAGGTACAGACGGCCTCATATACACTGAGCTTCTAGGCCACTTCTAGGCAAAGGAGAGAGAACTACTAGAGGACCAAGTGGAAGGGACCTAAGAAGCATAGTGACAAGTCAGGTTGACAGAACCACACCACAGCCACAGGTGGCTTCAACTCCATGTGCATTCACGCACGGCACCGCAGGGGTGGGGTGGGGTGGGGTGTTAAAAAGGGGAGCTAAGTGACCCAAGGCATGCAGTGTAGGTGTGAACTGGGGTGAGAAAACTCAAACTGCCACTCCCAAAAATTACCCTTACTGTTATGGTCAGGCCTATCAGTGAAGTGATTCCTCAGTTCCTGAAATGTTCTAGAATGTTTTTACAAGAATGGGCTCAGATTCTGAGAAAAGATGTTAGCTCTAAAAACTCTTTGTCTCTCATCTTGAGGCGGGAACACAGGCTAAGGGAGTGGAACAGGGTCTCCCTGCACTAGAGGCCTAAGCAGCCACCTAGAGTGCACACCTCAGCCTCAGCTATCCTCCACAGCACAATCAGAAGACAGACATCACCAAGAGATGACAGGGAAGAGCTACGCAGAGGCACATTTTAAAATGACAACAAAAGACCTTCTGTTGTAATTTTGCCCTTTGTGAGTGCAAAAAATATAGCTGACTCCATACGTTGATTTATGAAAAATAAATTTATTACATAACACCTTGTTTTTAACAATGTTCAATTTTTTTTATTCAGAATACTTGTGTCATTCATGTAAAATAGTTTGATACAGTACGTTGTATGTTATAGCTTTTTATTTTTCCCTCAAAAATTCTAAGGCTCTCCTACTCCTTCTCCTTTGCTGAAGTAAGGGCACCCTAAAAAAAATGTGCGAACAACTTTTTAAAAAGAAAGTCAACTGAACAAAATTTAATAGCACTACACTAACCAGCTTTAAAATCAGGACAGAAGAATGTGAACTGGATGCCGTGCCTTTTTAAGGAGGTTACCACTCATGCTTTTTTCATCTGAAAGCATGCTCACAAATCAGCAACACCAACGAGAAAAATAAAACACTGTCTGTGACAATCATTTTAGTTTGCTGAACCAAACAGGTTTATATCAATGACAACATATTTAATTACTATCAAATAGCAGCTTTAAGACCAGTCAAGTCATAGATTGAAAATAAAAACAAACCTCTAAGTTGGAAATGAATCTTTGGGAGTTCTGGAACCTGTCAGTAGGAACTATGTGGTTCTTCTGTACTTTCTAAACAATCCAAGCAATATCCTTGGTCGTAAAACACTGATTTCTGTAGAGGATGAATCAACCCACTGATAAGACACTAAAAAGAAAGGTGTACCAAAATAATCTTTTAAGTCTCAGTTATTTTGTTAACATAATCTGTGTTTCAAGTACCAGTTAAACCTTGCGTCTGTGTGTACTATTGGTCAGATAACGCTGTTACACGGAAAGTCACCACACACGAGGACAAATGCTTGCCCTAGCACATTTCACAGCTTCAACTGCTACAGACTGTCACTGAAAACTATGCTTGGTCAGTCTGAACCCTGTCAAGTAAACTATGGAAGTAGCAAACCCACGACACAACTGTGCTAGCACTTTCTTTTCAAGTCTAACTCCAAACTTAGGGACAACCTGGACGCTACCACCCCAATCTGTGACAACTGGTGGGACTTGGCTCCTGGACATGTGAAGATGTGGTTGTACAGTACATTCTCACGGCCCACACCAGGTTCCCGCAGAGTGCTGCAGCCAGCCCTACAGCATGAGCAACAGTGCACTGACAGACTCCAGCACAGCTCAGTACCGATGTGTTTGATGTGAGTACTGTGGAGGCTGCTGGGAGGTAGCTGAGTATCCCATGCTGCTCTGGGGCTGTGATGTGCTTGGTCCAGGGTTGGGATAAGCAGCATGTGGATTGGAACGCTGGAAAGAAGACGAGGGAAAAACGTGATTCAGGAACTTCTCGAAGTAGCTTGGCCCCACGCCAGCATGGCCGACAGGGGATTGAAGTGTTGTTCCAAGGAAGCAAAGATGTAAAAGTTTCTGCAAGGTACTAGCTTTAAAATTAAAATAATAAAAACAAATAAACAACAAAAGCCTCACAACTGGCCCATACAAAACAAAACAGAACTAAAGCAAATAAAACCCCAAGTCTTCCACCATTTGCTTCTCTTTAGGAAGGTCAAATATAGGACATAAAAGACACCTATTTATATGCTAGGGAGATTTCATCATATCTTGCGACATGAGTGTGAGGACCTTAGTTTGGATATCCAGAATCCACGTGAAAGCCAGTAGGCATGGTGGCTATCTGTAATCTCAGCACTTGGGAGGCAGAGACAGGATCTCCAGGGGTAGCTGGCTAGCTAGACTAGCCCACATTTGCAAGTCCATGTTCAGTGTGAGACACTGCCTAAGTAAATAAAGAAATAATTCAAGGAAGACACCTGATGTCAATTGAGGGTCTCCACACAACCACATCCATGCATGTGTGCCCAAGTACACACACATACAAACACATACAAGCACAAAAGCCAGAACACAGTTAAGTCCTTAGTGAGCTGCACCCAACCATGTAAGGGCACTTACTGTTCTGTGAATGACTCTAAGAGTGTTAGTGAAGATGACAACAACGAAATAAAAATAGCCAGCACTATCCATGCAGTGCTTCTATAGGAAGGCCCCATGTTCAGCACACACAGCCATTTCCGTCTTCCCAAACATCACACTCTGATCACTGTTCCTACTCTGCAAATGAGGACACTATCTAGAGGGAATTTTTACATTACCTTCCTTCTCATATTTAAGACATGGAGAACATCTAGATCTCTTATTCAAGGCTCAACAGCAGTAAGTGCTAGGCTAGGGCCGAAAGCCTGTGCTCGATCACTATTCTATGCCATTCAGAAACAAAAGCAGCCACTTACCAAGTTCAGATGACTGGCTAAATGCTAGACACACCATGTCTAAGAGGACTTTCCAGTTTCACTTTACAGGTGAAAAACACTGAAGTGTTTTCGATGAGTGTGTGTGTGTGTGTGTGTGTGTGTGTGTGTGTGTGTGTGTGTGTGTTATATGTATGTGTCTCTGTGTGTGTGTGTGGTGTGCCTGTGTGTGGTGTATGTGTCTGTGTGTGTGTGGTGTGTGTGTCTGTGTGTGTGTGGTGTGTCTGTGTGTATATGTGTGGTGTGTGTGTGTATGTCTGTGTGGTATGTCTGTGTGTGGTGTGTGTCTGTGTGATATGTCTGTGTGTGTGTGTGTGTATGTGTATGTCTGTGTGGTATGTGTGTGTGTGTGTGTGTGTGTGTGTGTGTGTGTGTGTGCGTGTGTGTGTAGGCCAGAGGTTGATGCTGATTACTTTCCACTTTATACTGAAGCAAGGTCTCTAATGTGAACTGAGTTCCTGACCGACTAGATTCCTGTCTCTGCCTTTGCAATGACTGCAGCAATGGGGTAGAGGTGGACTCCCAGGCCCCAGCACTGACATGGTGCTGGGTCTGAATGCTCACATGGAGTGTTTGACTTGCTGCACTGTCTCCAGCCTCTCTAGAGGTCTCAAGTTATGGGACTGCCAAGCATGGACTTTCCACTCCACGTCTGCTGCTCCCTTTCTACTTTGGAGTCTGTAGTCTTCCATACTTGGAACATGCCATGCTCACACGCTTTCCAGGTGCACCAAGGCTACTTTAGAGCACACTTTGCAACAGACCCTTTAGAAACCCCAGAACAGCAGGTCAGCACGAGACACTTGGAGTACCTGATAGTCGGAGGTCATGATGAGTCCACCTGAGGTAGTGGTAGGAGGGACAACTCTCACTTTCTTCAAGGGGGGCCCCTGGGTGTGGCCACTGTCCTGGTTCCCTGGATGGCCAGTTCCATTAGTGTGGTTATTGCCCTGCTGCTGCTGCTGGTTCTTCTCAATTGGTTAAACAGAAGACACAGTTCAACTCAGAGGGAGAACGAAAGGTGGCCCCATCCCAAAGGTCCCAGAGGCGCATAAGGCAGGCAGGAAGGCAGGAAGGCAGGAAAGCAGGAAGGCAGGAAGGCAGGAAAGCAGGAAGGCAGGCAGGCAGGCAGGCAGGCAGGCAGGAAGGCAGGAAGGCAGGAAGGCAGGAAGGCAGGCAGGCAGGCAGGCAGGCAGGAAGGCAAGAAGGCAGGCAGGCAGGCAGGAAGGCAGGCAGGCAGGAAGGCAGGAAGGCAGGAAGGCAGGCAGGCAGGAAGGCAGGCAGGCAGGAAGGCAGGAAGGCAGGAAGGCAGGCAGGAAGGCAGGAAGGCAGGAAGGCAGGCAGGAAGGAAGGCAGGCAGGCACCGCTGACCGTCATTTGATACTTACTTTGTCTCCTTTGTCATCAGGCTCCTCTTCTGTTAAAAATTCTCGTTTGGGGTAAGGAATCTGACAACCAGCAAAAACACTATTCACAAGAGAAAAGAAAAGAGCTGTCTCATATGCTGCCTGGTATTGACTCACTGTCACTTTCTAAGAAGACAGGACTCTGTCTCCATAGTTACAGATATAAGCATCTTTCATGCAATCTGAGGCACAGAACCCTTTAACCAATGGTGCTGCAGCAGGTGGGTGGGAGGCTCTTCACTGTGTAACCACAATCACCCAACAGGACAGCTCTCCTTAGTGCAAACCAAGTATCTCCTACTGCTCAGTGTTTTATCTGCCCTTCTTTAGCTGAAACAAAGACGGGAAGGAGGCCTTCCCTGAGTGCAGCCAGCCCTACACAGTGCAGTGAGCAGAGGAGCCACAGCAGAGCACACCCATCACTAGTAAATGGATGACTGTGGAAAAGAATCCATTTCAGCATTGCCTCTGAACCACAAAGACCCAAAACGACACATGAAATGAGTAAAGCTCAGTTTCTTCAGGTCCCTCAGAGGCAAGGGAACTTAGTGTGACAACTAGGAGGAAGAGCGTTTACAGACACCAACAGTCAGGAAGTCAGCAAATCCACCACTTACTCTGACGTGGGAAGTGGGTCTTCTAGGAAGTAGGGGTCCTGCATGGCCTGCTCTGAGGTAATTCGCTTTATTGGGTCCATAGTGAGCAACTTCTGAAGCTGAAATCACAAGTCACAGAATTATCAGTGCGTGCTCCCACAAAAACATTAGTGTACTGTCCCTAAAGTTCTATGTCAGTACCTAGGGGGATGACATACTTCTAAAAACTAACACTATATATGAATTGTATTTTCTCTCCCAAATGACCAGGAATGAAACACGATTATTAATGCCACAGCGCATACAATCAGCTCATGTGACTACACTTACACTGCCTGACCCTCCCCAGTGCTCTTCCCTTCATTATCCACACAATTCAGAACAACTAAACTTGCATTTCCTACTCCTTTTAAGAAAAAGTGTTGGAATATAAACAATGCACAAGCCACATGCAGTCAGTAGATTTGTATCCAAATTCAGCATAGCTGCATTATAATTTAAAAAGTAATTCTTGCAGCCATACCAGGTAATCAAGTGCTCAAGAGGCGCATGGAGCTAGTGACTGCCCTACTCAACTGCTCAGTCCAAAGCCTGACTCAGAATTGATTGACTGAGGGTACCTGGCAGGTCAGTTCACCTCTTTGTAACCATATCTGTCCAGATGGAGAATAAAAATAGTACCAATTACCATAGCTTGTTTCCAGTAATCCTGGAGTCTGACAGACAGAGCTGAGCCCTGTTCCTGGAGCCCGACAGACAGAGCTGAGCCCTGTTCCCGGAGCCTGACAGACAGAGCTGAGCCCTGTGCCCAGAGCCTGACAGATAGAGCTGAGCCCTGTGCCCAGAGCCTGATAATAGAGCTGAGCCCTGTTCCTGGAGCCTGACAGATAGAGCTGAGCCCTGTTCCCGGGGCCTGACAGACAGAGCTGAGCCCTGTGCCCAGAGCCTGATAATAGAGCTGAGCCCTGTTCCTGGAGCCTGACAGATAGAAAGCTGAGCCCTGTTCCCGGAGCCTGACAGACAGAGCTGAGCCCTGTGCCCAGAGCCAGACAGATAGAGCTGAGCCCTGTGCCCAGAGCCAGACAGACATGAACAGGAACCCAATGACTTTCATTTCCAGCAAGTTCCCAGCTGTTCCAGCTGGACTTGGGTTGAGAAGTAATAAACCAATAGATAAACTGAGATTTAGTGTGATAACTCATAAAGGAGAAAAGGCCATAAAAATATCTTTAAAATACAGAGAAAGTTAAGAGTCATTTAATTTAATGATCTTTAATCATGTCTGTGGAAGTACCTTAGAAAGGAAAAAAAACTTTTGGGTATGTTCTTTAAGATACCAACACTTGGCCAGGCAGTGGTGGTGCACACCTTTATTCCCAACACTCACAGGCAGAGACAGGCAGATCTCTGTGAGTTTGAGGTCAGCCTGGTCTCCATAGAAGAGCTCCAGGACAGACAGGGTTACACAGAGAAACCCTATCTTGAAAGACCAAACAAACAAACAAACAAAAAACCCAATACTTTCAGTGGGATTAAATCAGAGCTTTTGGATGAGACTGAGATTATCAATAATTAAGACACTTGCCCCAATAAAATCAGACAGAGCTGGGGTACAGCCTGCAAGTAAAGCACACAGAGGCACACATGAGGTCCTGGGGTTATTTAAAAAAAAAAAAAATCAACACATAAGCTACAAGGACAGCCTCTCAGGGTCCACCAGTCTTAGACTATAAGGAAGGCACGGGACTTGGGGATGGGCATGGCAGTCCCAATAATGCCTTTTCATCTGCCCATATTTTGTTAGGATCCATAAGTCTTGAATCTCGAAGGATTTGACTTAATTTCCCAATTTGGGTCTTGTTACAAATACATTTGAATAAATCGTCACCATACATTTTGGATGTGGTAACGTGGCAAGGTAAGCACTGCCTTGCAAACCAAACCCCGATCTAATAGCCAGAGGATGACAGAGAAGCAGACATCGAGGAAGAAGACAGCATAAGCAGAGGAGGAAGAGCTGCTGTGAAGGAAAGACCAAGAATACCCTTCTAAGAGTACACTAGAAGACATTTTATAAGAAATCTTAGGCCAAGTGACATACATGTGTCCTGAAACCTCTCATAGGTTAATAAACCTTCCGTGGGAACACCAAACTGAAAAGCATTTCCAGTTATAGTGTCACACTGTTATAAACATGAGAGCAACAGCTGGATCCGACCACCCTGCTGGTGCACTGGCTCTTTTAGAGTCCAGCCTGTGTCCATTTTCACAACAAGCATGCCATCTCTCCAGAAAACGGAGTAAGACTGTCATCAAAGGGCTTTCAGGACTCGCTTGGATGAGGTAACTTAGGAGTTGAGATTTTGTAAGTCATCTTTAAGTAGCTGACAATACACAGCTCTAGGTGTTGTTCAAGGTTGACTAGCTAATGAGGACAAGGACTGGACTCCACTCCCAGCAATGCACGAGAAGAAGAACTGAAGTGCAAAGCAGTGAGCAGATGGGGTCTCTGAAGGGCAGGAGGGCTTTCTCTTGTAGTTTTTGTAACTTTTGGAAAATCGCTCTGATTTGTGCTGCTGTCTCAGGCTTACCAAGTGGAATGCTTTACTATCAGGTTTAACTTTATGCTTTTCCATATACTTGATAAGGCTGCAGTTGGTGTACCTGAAAGAGAAACACCACGAAACATCCACATTAGATCAGAGCTGAATTTTACATCAGCTAATAGCTTCCCACACACAACTGTTTTCATCAAAACCAATATGGAACACACATCGAAGATGCTCTGAGCAGGATAAAATAGCAGCCTTAAGCCAACTTTATGCTTCATTCAATCTCCACACTAGTCTTTGGATGTTTTTGTTTTTTAAGATAGAGTTCCATGTAGCTCACGCTGGCCTCTAACTCTATGTAGCATGACCCTGAAGTTCTGACCTTCCTGCCTCTACTTTAAGTGCTGAGATTAGAGGTGTGCACTACCATACCAGCTATAATAACGACTTGGTGATTTTTTTTCTTTTTCTTTCTCTTGAGACAGGGTGTCAAGTATCGCTGGTCTCAAACTCACTACAAAACTGAGCATGACCTTGAACATCTGATGCTACTGTTGGGGTTGCAGGCATGAGCCACCAAGCCCAGTGCTGGGGATCAAAGCCAGGGTTTTATGCATGCAAAGCAAGCACTCTACCAACTGAGCCACTCTAGTCACTCCAAGAGTGGGAACTGATGACGGAATTCAAGACAATTTCATGACTACATCATGGATAGTATTTTCCCCACATGGATTATTATTTCTTAATAATTATTTTAAATAACATTTGTGCCAGTATAAGGTTAAAATTCATTTGTTATATGTATAAGTACTGGACTTTGCCTACCCCTGGTCCTGTAGCTAAGTAAAGTGAAACATTCACTTCCCCCTAATTAATACTTGCTTTCAATTCTATACACTTTAAATGGGTAGGCAAGTGACCATCAGCAAGGCTTGTATATTTGTACTTTTCTTGGCTGTGGTACTTCCCACTAATGTCTGGCTTCCAGAAAGTACTAAAAATGGAAAGAAATGAGTTGATTTTCCCTCGTCTCCAAATCAGCTGCTGCTGAGAGCCACCTCTCTGTCAATTTATCTTCAAAATGACAACTAACAACATAACAGCATTTATGAGTAAGTAAAATTCTTCAATAAGCTTAAGTGAGTGCTGTGGCATGCCAAACATCTAATTTTATTATGACTATTCTGGAAAAGTTAAAAATCAACAAAGTGTCCATTTTCTTCCCAACTTACGTATTTCTTCTGAAATCTTTCATTAATGTTGAATGTTCGGGCATCTTTTTTATATCTTCCCAATCTTTATCTGTGAAATACATTGATAAATGTTTATGTCGCCTAGGCTCTAAGTCTCAAGAATGCTAACAAAGGTTACCTTACTCTGAGTGCTTTCTAAGAGCCTGGCTCTCGCAGGAAGTGCTCAGCTGTAGCTACATCCTGAGCTGTAAGGACAAGCCAGGGCCTTCCAGCTCTACATCTACTCAAGTGTCAGCCTACACCTGTTGCTCTGTTCCACTATGACCTGCCAGTAGCATTCTATCACTAAAAGGAAGTGGATCACAAATAGATATTTGCTACTAAATAGTCCTATTTCTATAAGTAAAGCCACTTATTTTTCCTCATTCATCAAATTTCTTGGTTCCATCAGCAAGCAGTATCTTTACCTGAGAAATCTAAGATCTTTTCTCTGACTGGCTCATCACACTTTTCTAGATAACAGCCCTCCTTTCATACTCTTAAAGATCCTCCTCACATTATTAAGGCAAATGGTGGGACACAGCACAGATTCTGGTACCTTGGCTACTCCTAGTATTACTGTTCAATACAGTGTGAGCCACAGAGACAACAACGACGCTCCAGTTTGTCTGAGGCAGCAGAAGTGCTGTGGACATATGCTAATTAAGCTGCCCTTTCCGAAGTGGTCAGTGGCTGTTATCAAGGATCTGCTAGGTGCACAGACTGTACCAGGCAGCTGGGAATGCTGGTTATGTATCTTCTACAGACATCACCTGGTGTAAACTAAATATATACTTGAACTTTAAAAGGGAATTTTCTCCTCAACTACTTATTTGCTCCAATTTCTCTGCTTTGCCAACTTCTCACCATTTAGTTTTCCCTCAACTATATACTTTTTAAAGAAAGTTATATTTTGACCTTACTATATCGTTACAGCTGTGGTACTGTTACATGCGGCTGATTTCCTGACTTCAGTTAGCCACTCTCCTGAAATTTTTAATGTTCCACAGCCACACTAACCTTTCTGGAGCAGAGTACAAACTCTGCCTATGATTCAAGTGTCTATGACGGATCCGAGTTTGCTGCTTGCTTTTTCTGCCTTCTTGTTACCCAAGCCATCTTAACTGTTAAACCCATGCCAAGCATCACCCCTGACTGTGGTCCTCATTACTCCCAATCAGTCCCATATCTCCTTCCCACGGGCCTCAGAAATAGTAACTAACTTGGACACAAGAAGGAAGAAGTAATTCCTCTCTAGCCACTCAAGCCATATCTACTCTTACAACATCCTAACAATGTAAATGCTTAAGAGGGCAAGAATCGATGTCTATCGTCTGTCTGTCTATCGTCTGTCTGTCTGTCTAATTTGGTTTTTTTGAGACAGAGACCCTCCATTATGTTGCTCTGTCCTGAAACTCGCTATGTATATTAGGCTGGCTTAAACTCGCAGAGATTCACCTGCTGCTGCCTCTGAAGTGCTGGGATTAAAGGTGTGTGCCACCATGTCAATACATTTCACTCAAGATAGAAACTGGATCATATTAGTACCCCAATGTATAATGAGTAAATGGAATTCTAATCCCAATGAGGTCTTCCCCAAACTATTGGGTGATTCTGGAGAAGGGAAGTCTGTGTGCTTGTTCTGCATTTGCTGATAATTAACAATCCTACCAGGAACCATGGAATGAAAGCTTCCAGCTAGCTCTATCAGTCTTAAGCTGTAGCGACCTAAAGAGCACCCCCAACAGAGCATGATTTCAGTCACATGCTCGACTAGCCAACATCATTTAGGTGCTTTCCACGCATTTTTATTATTCTGGACCCCTGGGCAGTTTTTGGTGGCTGGTGAATTACTGTTTTGTAGTATAACTAGGATCCAGGATGTACCCAGAGAGATGTTAACTCCAGAGAGGGGAACACCCATACATTTTCTCTCTGCTATAAAATCCACGCCTCTTGACTTTCACTCACATCCTGGCTGTTTTACAAAACATTAAAATAATAGTAATAATGACAGAGTGAGGGAGCAGAAGAGCTGTTATTCTACAGGATGTAGTTCTGCACAGCACTCTCCGGAACCATAACCTTCAGCCTTTGTACTCAAGCAGCAGCTCTGAGATGTAGTGCCAGAAAAAACCTTCTACTGTTTATTTTAGTTTACACTGGCAGGAATAAAAGGTATCAAGTTAACCGCTAACCCAGCCTTTGTAAATATCTCATCATTTCAAATATCAAACAACAAAACAAAACAGCAAACCAAAATGAAACAAACAAACAAAAACCTCACTGAATTCAAAAAACTCCTAAGTATTTTAATGCTAATATTTGAAATATATGCATTTTGCTATTTCTGTGATTCTTTGAAAAATGAAAGTTATAAAAAACTAAGAATCATGTAATACAAGCTTTCATAAGCCAAAAACACAGCCTTTTTCCAGAGACACCAAACAACAGTGATTGAGAACAAACGACAAAAGCAAGCTGTACCTGCAGGGAATCCCATTACATTGAATATTCTGTCCAGCTGGTCATGGTGATAAGGGTTACTAGTTTTGATGTCCTCTTGTCGACAGTGAAATATTGGTTCTGACGTTAGTAGTTCTGCAAATATACACCCTATAGCCCAAATATCTTTAAAAGAAAAAGAAAAGAAAAACAAAAAACAAAAACAGGAAAGAGAAAATAAAAAGGAAAAAGGAAAGGAAAAAAGAAAAAGGAGGAAAATAAAGTGCTTCTTTCCAAAAGAAAATGCATTTTTAATTTAATGGGGAGTGTTCTTTTTTCTCTGTTTCTTGCACATTAATAGTAATCCCTGGGCAAATATAACCACTAAATACCACAGGACCCTGTAAATACCCCCCACCCACCAAGCTTTCATTCCTATGATATCTCATCCACCCAGTGACTTTGTAGAAGCCTCTGTTTATTTGCTGGATCTAGGTGAGTTCTAAATGCTTCAACATTATCATAGCTATACAGTCTGCATATGGAACATGGGGACCACAAACAAATGAAATTAAAACAAAACGAACAGAAAATCCACATGACCCTTGAAACTGGGCACTTGCCAGAATACAGGAATGTTTTTTCATGATAAAATAATTTTATCTTGTTTATTTACCTGCTAAAGTCTAGTAAGTATCATCTGTGCTAACACTAACAAGAAAGACATGCATCCTATATCACTTCTTTATGCTACAGCAGCAGCATCACCTTTGCAAAGTTAATTAGAACACAAGAAGAAAAAAACCCCAAACCTATCTTCAAAATGGGTATGCAGGCTAAAAATTAGCAACAATTATTTATAGGAGACAAACCGCAAAGTAAATTTCTTTCATTCACAAGACATAAGTTCACTCTCATCCATACCAAGTTTGTTTGTACTCAAAAGAGCTATTAACAGAGACAAGAGCTATATGCCTTCTTAGAGCAGGAAGCTGCAAGCATCCTTGGCACATAGCTCCTTTGAGGGTGCTGTCTGTCTCACTTATATTTAGTATAGCGTTGTGCACACTGCAGATGCTCAACAGGTGAGTTGTGAATGACCTACACAAAACCTGGGGCAAACGTGAATAACCACAGGGACAAATTACAAAACTCATTCTTATATTGAAGCTGACAACTCAGGCACTTGAGAAACTATTACTTAAGCAGGAAATGAGGAAAAAAGTGTTAATTATGAGAATTTCTAAACTTCAACACTGGAACTTATTTATTACAATTATGATTTTTTTATATTTTCATAACAAAATTCTTGTATTATATATAAATTATCACATTTACATTTTGGAGTGACAAATTAATCTACTTGCATAAGGATGCATAATTTGACAATGATTTTTTAATCACATAATTTTTTCATATCAGAAAACAAAGAGGGTCAATATTATCATATGAAGAAAAAGTTGTATCAAGAAACAGATTGAGCTATTTTGTTTGAGTATCAGAGGGTACACAGGAAAGCTAATAATTCGGTGTTTAATATATATATATATATTAAATATATATATATATATATATATACCTCATATAAACTTAACCTCTGATCATCTTAACCACTTCATGGATAGGTAAGCTTAAGAGGATTAAAAAAATGGGAAATGAGTCATTTTGCACATTTAAAATTCAACTCATAATATATCCCCAAAACAGTAAGGATTCATCTGGTTGGTTACTAAGGATCATGAAGACGAATGGAGTAGTTTCTCCGTAATAGGTGTTCTCTCTCTTGAAGGAAAAGCATGGTGGGTAGAACAACAGCTAATGAATCTTGACTGACTGACCTGACCCTGGCCACGTCTAACTTTACTGCTTGCGTCTGCCTCTTGTCCACCAATTGTCTGTCTTTCACTTTCAGTCTTGATTTAATCACCAACCACAACTCTAGTCAGATGATTGGGTCTTTATTCCCTAAAACTTCCAAGTCTTCCCAGAAGGTCTCTCTTTTCTTTGCTCATATGCTTCAAAATAAGCCAGATCCACGGAGGCTCTCTCAGACCTGTTTAGCTGCCTGCCTAACTCCTTCCCCGAGAAAAACCCAGCCACTTCTCCAGCAGCTGCGTGTAGCTAATCCGATGCTGTACCTGTCCCCCCACACAAACGGGGGTGGAAGGGTCCGTCGAACACTTCAGTCAACACTGTGACTCTGACAGAAGGAAAATGAGTATCCATCCCTTCTTTCCCCATTTTACCTCACGCAATGAGTGCACACTCAGCCACTGGAGGAGGAGCACTTGGGCTCAACTGTACACTTCAGTAAAACTTTCAAGACAGTTTTGGTGACAGATCATTGGGGACTGATCATACCTCTCCTTCAGTTTTCTCCCTAACACCAAACAAACAAAACTAAAAACCCAGACACTCAAGTCTTTGTCTCCTAGATAACATGCTCACTAGCCCATTCTTCTCTCTCTGGTTTAATGATTCAGCTTCCAGTGCTGTCCACATGGACGAATGTGCACAGCACTGAAATCTGTTTGTAGTGGATTTTGGGAATTTGGCAGTTTACCATCATCAAGCAGGTATTTCCTCTGCGCATCTGCCGAATCCCAGCACGGACCCCCCCCCCCCCTTCTGAATGACACTGTGAAGATGGACAGGAGCACATGCTCTAAGTGTTGTGAGTTTAACTCCAAGGGCACTGCAGCTGCTTACTCTTTAGCTACCAGACAGCGAAGTCCAAATGCTAGATAGCGTTCCCAGCAGGAATCTTTAAATGGTGTGGAGAATTTGAGTACCTCACTGAACAAGCCTTAAGTTACCAATAGAGGTAAGGGGTAGGAATGAAACTGTGAAGCAGAAACTAGAACTCAGTTTCCTCTTAAGACTACCTCACTTTTATTTAAAAATACTGAAAATGGCAAGTGTGTGATCTGTCAGATACAAACAACAGCTAAGAACGACACCTATGTTATAGCTCGTTGAGGGAATGTGTTTATAGAAATTGAAGCGCTCTCCAAAAGGCACTGTGGCTAAATCAGGTATGCACAGCCAGGGATCACCACTGCTGAAGAAATAGCATTGGCCTTGACTCCAGTCGTCTGTAACCAAGTCAGTTCCCTATGTGACTCCTACTGCAGAAGGCAAACGTTTCTATAGAAAGCCATACAACTCTGAGAGCTAATGGTGATGTCAGCTTTGACTCCAGCACTTTCATAGGCACCGAAGGACTAGATGGCGTGTCTGACTGAACATGCTCTCCGGGTGTCAGCAGTGAAGCCACCATTCCTATGGGGAGTCACTTGCCACAAAACTGACAAAATCCCTCTGTGTATATACTTCTACTTTCCTCTCGTGGAGGCTGAAAACTCTTAGGGACAAGGTCCAGAACTTGCATTCATATTCAAGTTTATACACTAGCTCCCTATTTTTGTGTAGAGGAGGAGGGAGAAGAGAGAGATAAATACAATTAAAGCTGTACTCTCCCAAGTTGGATAGGCAATTAAAACTACTGGACTATAGAATGGGAGAAACAGAGGAAGTCTCAGGTGCTCAGTACACTGGGGGCTAAACTTTGATAATCACACCACTATGTGTACAATCTAAGATCCTACCAAAAGCAACAATGCTTTGAAATATTCAATTCTTTGGTAAGGAAAAAATAACTATCATATTAACTGAGAAAGCCATCTTCAATGTGTTTTAAGAGTATTTTCACAAGATTCAAATGTGTTTAGATAACAGCACATATTCAAAAACAGTTAATAGTTTAAATATTTTTTTCTATTTTTTCCCCTGGTTTTTAAAAAGTAAGTATTTTGGAATAATTTTAGATTTATACAAAGCTGCAGGTAGAGAGATTTTTCACATCTGACTTATCTTTATAAATGTTTTTCTATAAAATAAAATGTGACCTCAAAGCAGCTAAGAACATTAGCGAACATAAAGCTTTTGCTAAGAAGCTAGCCATGATGGATTCAAGATTAACTCAGAGGATGATGGCAGTATCCCTCCCATTTCCATCTGGAGACTACACAGAAATATGAACAAAATCTTAACAAATATAAATCCATAGTTTTAGACAAGATAGGTTCACCTGTCAACAGAGACGAGGCGCTAGCAGGCTGTGGCAGACAACAGTAAGGTGAGGTCTGTTTGGTGGATTCTAGATACTGTTTGGTGCAAAGCTGACAAGAAGGTGAGATGTGGCCAGGTGGTAGTGGTGCACGCCTTTAATCCCAGCACTCAGAAGGCAGAGGCAGATGAATCTCTGTGAGTTTGAGGCCACCCTGATCTACAGAGAGAGTTCCAGGACAACCAGAGTTGCAAGGGGTAACTCTATTATGAAAAAACAACAAACAAACAAAAACAAAACAACAAAACAAACAAAAAAGTTGAGAATGTAATGAGGGTGAGGGAGCAAGGTTATCTCAGATGGCATGATCTAGGAAGCTCTCTGGAGAAGACAGTATTTTGACTGAAGGTACACAGATGCAGCATGTTTCTGGACCATAGAAGGCAGACGAAAGAGCTCGAAAAAGACCTCGGTCTACGGCATGGTGCCTGAGCAGCACACAAAACTGAGCAGTCCTACAAAACTCTATGGACATGTCAAACTGGGAAGGATTATTGTTTCAACACCTACCTGCCCCTTCTCTCCACTGTCTACCAATGCCTTCAGCTGTTGGATATACAGCAACTGGGCCAAAAGCCAGGAGATTCTTAAATCTGACTGGCCTCAGAAGAGATTCTCCCATTCTGGCATCTGGTCTCCCTGGGGATGACAGCTGACTGTTAAAGAACCGGCAAAGCATAATCACCAACCTATGTATCCCATGATCTAACAGAGTACCCAGGGGTTACCTAAGTAATCAAGGGACACTTACAACAGAAAAGAAATGAAATGCAAATGGAAAACAGAGCCCGGGAAGAAAACACAGGTTCTTTCCTCAGGTTGCTGGGGAGACAGCTGACATTCAGACTGAGTGTGTTTACTAACAGCAGCCCACAGACTTTTAAAGCAAGAAGAGGGGAGTGCTGCAAGAAACTGGCAGGAAGCAACTTCCTCACTACTACAAGAACATGGGTCTAGGCTTCAAAACACCCAAAGAAAACACAGAGGGCATCTACAGACAAGAAATGTCCTTCACTGATGTGGTGACCAAGATGAACATCTGCAAGTAAAATTGCTTCAAGAAGTGCCACAAGAAAATGTCTGTGAACCTGTAGCCTGTCCCTCAGCCTGTCCATGCTCCAGCCCCCGCAAATGAACATGCAGACAGGCAAGACAAGTACATGGCCCTGAGTAAAACAGTGAGCTTTAGTGTGCTCAAGGCTTCAGGGTTAGTGGCACTAAGAAGCAGGTCCCGAAGCTTTGAAAGGACCACGGCACAATTCTCTTCCAACTCAACACAAAAGACCCGACAGGTAATAACTCAGGGCACACTGCAAACCACAAACAACACAAAAGACCCGACAGGTAATAACCAGGGCACACTGCAAACCACAAACAAATGCTGTAATCTCTGTCTTCAAAGATACTAGCACAGCTTTTCTTTCCAGAAACTAACAAGATGCCACGCAAGAGTCACAGTCGGACAAGGAGCGCCTAAGAAAGGCAGAAAAGCACACTGGAAAACACCAAGAGGCTCAGCATCTCCTAACAGTACATTCAGGAAGAGAGAAACAAGAAAGTCTGAGGGGAAATCAAAGGACCATACACATTAAGAATTGCCCAGAGATACCCGATATGAGCTGAATGACTGTGTCCAGAAAATCACTGTCAAATGTGGAAATGAGAAATGGCATTTGTCTTCAGAAAGGGACAAGCCTAGGTGATCCACAGTAATCTGAGAAGTCTGGCTTGAGACTGGATTAGACACACTGCTACCTAAAGGCAAAAGAAGTACCAGAGCACAACTTGATACCGATGACTCTAAACCACCAAGTAAATAAAGGTCTTTTCCAGAAATACTACCAATTAGACAATTTACCTCTAAGATAATCTTCCAAAGAAAGCCACAGGCGGAGGAAATAAAAGATACAATCACAGGATGCAGAAAGCACAACAGTCTAGAGGAATAAAAAGGAAACTGTCTCAGGGAGGTGGTAGAGGCGGCCTAGGTTACATGTCACAGGGGAAGTGGCTACAAGCCACCCTATACAACAGAGCAAGCCAAAGGCCATCGCCATGAGGGAGAGGGCAGGCACACTACGAAACAGTATTTCACAGTGACACTCACTCAGCAAGATGAAGCAGACAGAGGGCTGTGGCGGAGTGGTCCACCCACCGTACCATGTAAGCTAGCTATCGACAACTGGCAATGGAAGATAGCAGAGGACCTGAGAGAGAGCCGTTGTGCCGGGACACCACTAACACAGCTGACAACAGGGACACGGAAAGCAAGAGAACCACGCTCCTAACTTTGAGAAAGTCCTAACTCCCCACGTTTGCGTATCTTCCTTCTTTAATTTTGGAGGTATCTTTTAGATGTTAGCATTTCTTTTGGTGGCAGAAAGAACATTTGTATGAAATTCCAGAACTTAAAATTTTTATTTTCTCTTTTCAAATAAAATTAAAATTTTTACTCAAAACATTCTGAACCTTTTTTGTAAAGAGACGTGTGCAATTCCATGCTCCTGGGTACTAATGCATATATATGGGTGGTGGAATTCTGGGGTTTTGTTTTTAGAATTTGATCTATTACTTGATTTAAACATGTACAAAAATGTCTCTTTCACAGAAAAAAAAATAAAGTACTGTAACTTTAATTAGCCCTACTCACCAATTGCTTTGGTATAATGTCGTGCTCCAAGGAGTAATTCTGGAGCTCGGTACCAGAATGTTACAACCACTGGATCCAAATCTGCTAAAGGCTTCAAAGGTGAATTAAATAATCGGGCAAAGCCCATGTCAGCTGTAACAACAAGAAAACCACGTAAGTAAACAGGTCTACTTTACTTACACAGTCCCATTTGCCAGTGTTATTTATCAAGAGGTGCTCAGACCTGGAACAATGGATAAAGCACCTTACTGCTTTTACCAACTGAAATGTGAAAAAGCTTGAGATCACAGTCTTTTTGAATAAACTGTCCCTCAGCTCTTGAACTGGCTTATGACAAGCTCTGTTGCCAGACCTTGGGGTAAAGCTACTCCTCTGGCAGACTTCTTTTAGAGGGTCATACCTCTGAGGTTGGGACAGGTTGGGACATTAAGCTGTCAGGCACAGCAAAGTGGGGCTTTCCATTGTTTGCGTCAACAAGCCTACTCACTGCCGTCTCAGAGTTGACAATTGTATTTTAATACTATTTTCTCATCTATTTGGCCAGAGTTTCACTAACTTAAAACTCATGGCACTTTTTAAGTTGGAAAACGCTTTATTTCAGTGTTATGCTTCTTCACATGAGATGGAAGTTCAAAAGATCACAAACCCGAGCCCCCAAGTTGGGGTTTTGTTTTTAGAATTTAGTAGTTTCTGTTGCAGTGTTTGATGCAAGGTAGAGATTCTCATCTTTCCTTATGCAGTGACCCTATAATACAGTTTTCTTGTTTACGTGATCCCCAACCATAAAATTATTTTCGTTATTCATAACTAATTTGCTACTATTGTGAATTGTAATGTAAATATCTGTTCCTAAAGAGAGTTCCTGACACAAGCACCATGCCATCAAGCTACTTAGGTGCAGACTCTGCCCCGCTAACCCACACTCCGAGGCTTTGCCTCTGTACGACATCACATGCAGGGTCACTCCACACAAAGACAGGATGAGCCCTGTTTACTGCCCACCGGGAGATGTCAAGATTCACAACCATCTGGGTAAGTTTAGTTCTGCTCTAATGGAGTTTTAATGAAGCAGATTCTCCTTTAACTGACAGCTGTGGATGGGAAAAGCCCAAATTTGGCAAAGAATAAAAACCTTGAATCAGATTATCAAATGTTTCCTTTGAAATGTGAATGCCTGAAGACACAGTATCACCCAAACCTTCCAACAGCACGCATAATTATATAGAAGTGTAATTCTAAAGGAGATTGTAAAGGTGCCATCTTTCTAAATCAGATGATAAAAATCTTTCTAAACCAGATGATAAAAGACACATTTTAAAATTGCTCTTTGGCTGGGACTAGTCTATTCTGCATACCCTGAACTGGCATTTGAATTAGACACCATGACATCAGATTAAAGAGATCCCTTCAGAAGCTCATCTAAGGCCAAAAGCATTTGGTGGCCCCAAGATGAGCACTGACAGGGTCAGACATCAATGACATCTCAGAGTACACCAAAGTGCATCATCACATGTTCTCACAACTAAGAATCTGCAAAGTCTGTGTCATAAAAAAGTTTATTTGAAAGTGGAAAGTGAGCTTTGAGAGGCTCAGAAAGGAGGATGGGGAGAGGTGAAGAAGAGCCGACCGAGTTTTACTGGTGAGGACAAGGCATACAGCTATAGGTGCCTCTACTTCAGTGGTTCTCAACCTGTGGGTTGTGACCCCTTTGTGGGTTGAATCCTTTCACAGGGGTCACTTAAAACCACTGGAAAACACAGATATTTATATTACAATTCACAACAGTAGCAAATTAGTTATGAATAACGAAAATAATTTTATGGTTGGGGATCACGTAAACAAGAGAACTGTATTATAGGGTCACTGCATAAGGAAAGATGAGAATCTCTACCTTGCATCAAACACTGCAACAGAAACTACTATTGTGTTCTGTGTTCTTATAATTCTCTATCATAATTACATTAATGTATAACTTACTTGTCTTCTACCCCCCCAAAAACCAAATAAACCAAATATAAGTGACAAACACTGCTTAGCAAAATGACAATGAAAGAAGCAAACAGGACAGATTCAGCTGTCCTTACAGACTGTCACCCTGGAGAGGTCTGATGCAGAGGACAGAATAGCACATCAAGATGCAGAATGCCATGAATGCTTTTGCTCTTCGACAAGGCCTGGTCCAATCCTGCAGGTCGAGAGCTGTGCCTTGATTAGCTCCTTGGCTGGAGGGCTGGTACAAGTGCTTGTTCCCATTAACCTGGCTAAAGGGACTGATGGAGGAATCAAAGTGGCTGGGGACAGAGGCTGTTTAACTAGGGCGGGGTCTGGAGAAAGCCTATGTGGCTTATTTTACAACTACAGCTGTTCATGCTCTAAGGATCGTCTGACACCTGGGGGAAGGTTTTCCCTTTCATGTACACTCCTTGGAAATGTTTTTGACATCTGGAACTATGAATATGTACATATCAATATAGAAAACAGTTGCCTACAACAATTTCAAAAGTGTACTGAACTGTGACATATCAAAGATGTAACATACCAATTTTTACTCTTCCTCGCTCAGGACCTTCACCCATAACTAAAATATTAGCAGGTTTCTGTGGAAACAAAAAAACAAATTTTTTCAATAGACAGCAGTAGTTCTCTTTTAAATAGACAAATGTTAGTATAACATAAATCTACTTAAATAAAAACTTGTACTAACAAATTAAAGTGAAATGTAGGAAGCCACATAAGAAACTGTATGTGTACCCAGCAAAGCTGCACACAGGCCCCAGTGCAGCAGCAGACAGCTGAGGCCCTAATCAAGAGGTCTTCACTGTGGAGCACTGAAAACTCACAATGCTGAGGCTCTCTCTCTTTTTTCTTTTTTGAGACAGGGTCTCATAATGTAGCCCTGACTAGTCTGGAACTCACTATGTAGACCACGGCAGCCTTGAATTCCCAGTGATCTCCTGGTCTCCACCTCCCACTTTTTGTTTTTGAGAGTCTTACTCTGCAGTACTGGCTGGCCTAGAACTTTCGATGTACACAGCATGGCTTTGAACTTGTGGTGACTGTCCATGTCCTCCTGAGTCCTAGGATTCTAGCAAGAGTCACCAGGTCTGATGCATGGTTTCAATTACTTAAAAAGTTCTAAGAGTTTAAGGAAAATTAATCCCCATAGATCATTTAATACAAAGTAGCAAACTAATTACAGGCAAAAATTCACCTGATACTCTGTTTTGGAAGCCACAAGACTCCCACCTATGTCTAATATAAAAAAATCTAATATGGTCTTTTTCTAAACAAGTTGGCACAGTAATTTTTCATTAACAACAGTTTTGAGGTTTTTGTTTTTAAATAAAAGAGAAGATAAAGTTTAACATGAGATTTTGCCAAAGGGGAACTTTAGTTTTAAACTCTAAAAAACACAGCAGACTGTCACAACCTGTTCAAAGTGGCACACGATCCTCTGGCATTTGAGAGGAAGAGAGGAAGGAAGCAGCATTTGGCTTCTCCCTCAAACCTTACCTTGCTGCCCTTCCTACGGACACAGCTTCAGTTTACCAATCCGACAAAGTGAAGTGAGACTGGATTGGGATGCCTCTCCAATATTAATCTAAACAACTTGAAAAATCCAATTAGAGGGGCTGGAGAGGTGGGTCAGTGGTTAAGGGCACTGGCTGCACTTCCAAAGGACCTGGGTTCAATTCCCAGCACCAACATGGCAGCTCACAACTGTCTAACTCCAGTTCCAGGGAATCCAACACCCTCATACAGGCAAAACTCCAATGCACATGAAATATAAATAAATAAACCAATAAAAAAATCAAAATAAGAGATTTTTATGAAAGCTGTTTAAAGTGGCAACCACTTCACAGGCTTCTACAGCCATCACTGGAGATGGCTGCAAGGCAGTTACAACAGTATACTGTCCTACTAACTCCCAAAGGTCAAAATTAGTTCTTTTTAAGAAGCTAAAAGGAAAACAGATGCTGCTGCTGAAATGGCAGGCTACGGCACCAGGGCTTACAAATTCCTATTCTAAGAGGATGCAACTCGGCCCCAAAACAAACGACTGAAGATCAGTGCAGGCTCCTGTCACCACTCTGGATCCCTCCTGACGGGATTCTCAACAGTCAAGGCAGAGAGTTCTTGGAACCGTGTGTTTTGCTATCATCATCGTCATATTTTATTCAACAAAGAAACTCTGAGATCTTTATCATCATCATCACAGTCTTCACCTGGGGCAGCTGGGGGAGTGCCAAAAGTGAGTGCACTGCTAAACTAACAATGAACTAACACTGAAGTTTCTAGTGGGCTCGGTGCACTCCTGCTGCCCGAGGGTGGGACTGCTTTCCTACACTGCAGTGACCAGTCAGCGATGGGGCAGCCTTGTGGAGTTGGGCAGTGATGCCAGTCAGTGAGGGAAATTCTGGCCCTCACCTCACACCACAGGTTCATGACCATGAGTGGAATTCTCTTCTTGTGGTTCTAAGCCTCCTGATGCATGTCTTCTCCTCAACCTTACTTTGAGTTCTTCCCATCAAACCCATCTTCTGTATCATTGCTAGGGTTGTCTTTCTAAAAGACAAATGTGATTATGTCACCTCTGTCCCTGAGATCTTCTCCAGCAGCATGGAAAATACTACATGAAGACTAGGAGAAACAGAACACAAAATGATGCAGACTGGGATTAGAATCAGGTGTTATTTATTGGTTTTGGTTATGTAGCCTAGGTTTATGTGGTGGTGGGCACGGAACCCAGGACTTTGTGCATACTGGGCAAGCACTCTATCAACTGAGTTATAGCCCAACACCAGAACTAGTTTTGCTTGTTTGTTTTTTTTAAGTTTCTGTGAATAAAAATTAGGAGAACAAAAATGTTAGAGTAACAGAGAACATGGATCGTTTTCTAAAAAAAACTCTTAGATAATTATGTGTTATTGCTATTAAAACATTTCTGAAGCCAGGTGGTGGTGGCGGCGCATGCGTTTAGTCCTAGCACTAGGGAGGCAGAGGCAGCCTGGTCTACAGAGCGAGATCCAGGACAGGCACCAAAACTACAAAGAGAAAACCTGTCTCGAAAAACAAAAAACAAACAACAACAACAAAAAATCTGCATGGCTAGAGAGATGGCTCCTGAGTGCCCGGCCAGTTTATTTTTATTCTAAACTTATTGGACTGACAAAGTTTTGAACATGAGTTTAAGAACAGCTATGGAATAGTTCCTTTTGTCAAGGTCTGGCCTGGCATTTGTGTTAGTGGCCACATTTCTAGAAATAATTTTTAAAATTATTTATTTTATGTGTATGAGGTTTTTTCCCCCCCTGCATGTATATATATATATGTACATGTCTGGTGCCCACAGAGGTCAGAAGAGGATCTTGGATCCCCTGGAACTAGAGTTATAGATGGTTGTAAGTCACCATGAGGGCACTGGGACTCAAATTCTGGTTCTTTCAAAGAGCAACAAGTGCTCTAAATCAATGAACCATCTCTCCAGCCCTTAGTATTACAATTTTCTTTGCTAGATTCTCTCTATCTGGTTATAATCTGAAACCAGTCTTGGGGCTAAAAGCCCACTCAGCAGGTGTTTTAATTTTTCTCACAATATTTTTTTTTTTAACTTTTACCCAGGCTGACCTTGAACTCCTGGGTTCATAGGATCCTCAGGCTTAACCTCTCAAGTAATGGGACTATGGTATGCAGCTTGTAGAGTGACTTATTTTTAAAGTGGTTTAGACTTATTTGGACATGTTATTATCTGCTCTGTGTGTGTGTGTGTGTGTGTGTGTGTGTGTGTGTGTGTGTGTGTGTGTGTGTAGAGGGGGAGGGAGGGAGAGAAGGAAGGAAGGAGAGAGGGACAGAGGGTATGGGGGGAGGGGAAGAGATGGGAGAGGAGGGGGGAGGGGGGAGGGAGAGAGGGAGAGAGGGAGAGAGAACAGCTGTGTTGCAAGACTAGTTTTGGCAAACCCTTGACATTAGTGTTTAGTCAGTACCGAGGAAGCCTCCGAAAGACTGGATCGGTAATTTTACTTCGTTACTCAATGCCTTATTAAGGTAATAACTAGTCTCCAATAAAACTAGTTTCGTCCTTCCTGTGTCAATAGTAGAATGTGGGAGGAGTTTAGCTCCAAAGCCAGGACCTCCCTCCAAGCAGTCCTAGATTGAAATGTATCTCTGATAAATACTTTTCATGAGGTGTCCTGGTCACCCTGAAAGAAGAGGTAGAACACTGTTAGTGACATTCTGAGGGACACTCCATGCGACTGAAGAGACTCTCCCATCACAGGAACAGAACAAGTACCCCTGCCCAGTGGGTAACGACAAAGGCTGAGGCTGCACTACTATTTGAAGCTACAGCTCCTTTGTTCCTGAAAGCACTAACAACTGTTTTTAATGGAAAGAACATGGTCTTGTTTTACAACTGGATGATTTTTCTGTTCTCTACCCTGTACCTCACCTCCCAAACTCTGACCAGTATTTCCCAAGGCAGATGCTTGCACTGCAGACATTACCATTCTTGTTCCTGTACCTATCGCACATACATCTCCAGGGCAATGTGATGATGGAAATGAAACACACATACCGAACATTATGGATCATTCCTAATGCTTCCTACTAATCTTTACCACAGTGTCTACACACGTGCGCGTGTACACATGCCTGGCTCGTTTTACAGATGACAAGAACCTAGCTCATTTGGGTGGGGAGTGGAGTTCAGTGGTGAAACATGTCTATCAAGTGCAATGTCACAGGCTTGACTCAGCACCACAGCACATGAAAGCAAACACTAACGCCATGGGTGGCGAACCTTTCCCATGGCTACAGTTAAGAGGTGGAACCAAGCCGGGCGGTGGTGGCGCACGCCTTTAATCCCAGCACTCGGGAGGCAGAGCCAGGCAGATCTCTGTGAGTTCGAGGCCAGCCTGGGCTACCAAGTGAGTTCCAGGAAAGGCGCAAAGCTACACAGAGAAACCCTGTCTCAAAAAACCAAAAAAAAAAAAAAAAAAAAAAAAAAAAGAGGTGGAACCAAGATTCAAACAAACCTCAAGCTCATCAGAAGCACAAAAGGGCTACACATCCTCCCTGATATCTGCGGAGGAAGTTCCCATGAGTTCCTCTTCACAGTCAAAGACACGTGGGAGGTCTCAAGCCATACTCCTGCTATAGATAGCCAGGACACAGAGAAACATGGAAGTAACTTACCCCACCGACTTCAGCTAGAGCCTCGGGAATTTGTTTGGATAAGAAGATTAACATTTCAGCTAGTTTGGGCCACGGTGCTCAGGTGTTTGAGTCAAACATTATTCTAGATATTTCTGTGAACTGACTTGGAACCTCTGCTGGGAGGTGGTAGAACCTTCAGGAGGTGAGGCCTAGTGGGAACCCTTGTCATGGCTCCCTAGAAGCTCACTCCTCATAGTTTGGGAGCTCAGCCTCACCGCTTCCTCTTTCGCTTCCTGGCAAAAGTTCTACTCCATCTCTTATTCCTCATCATTGCCACCTAACATCAACCAGAGGCCAAAGCAATGAGGTCCATCTACTATGAACCAGGAGCTCCAAAACCATGAGCCAAAAATACATCTTTTCTCTTTGTAAGTAATCATGTCAAGTATTTCATTACAGCCGTGCAAAGCCAATGCCCTCCTTCCTGTGAGAAGGTATCCAATCAAATGAAGGCTCTAATAGAAAAAAGACTGACTGTGATCAACAAAGGATGCACCAGCAGATGGGATTCAGTATCCAACTGTTATTCTGTCTTCCTGGATCTCCGGCTTGCAACCTATCCTGCAGATTCTGAATAAATAGGCCTCTAAAACGCATGAACCAACTCCCTAAAATAAACTGCTTTCTATATATCCCTATGCTATATATATATATATATATCCCTATATATCCCTATGTGTGTTCTGCTGCTCTGGAAGAGCCTAATATGGACAGGAGCAGCAGAGGCAGGATTATAATTGCTACAAACATTCTTACTGCCAAGAAGCAGGGAGTAGAAAAGAGGTTGGAACGACCAGGGTAGGAGAAGCGGGGCACAAGCACATGCACCTGTGCTTTAATTTCTCTCTACTTTATGGTGACTGGGGACTTTAATGTTCGAATATGAAAAGATTTGGTTTAGACCAATAAGTTACTTCACAAAATAAATACTATCTGTGCTTCCTTATCTATCAGACCATTTCCCTTCAATTTCCAACACTATGTCAAGAAACTAACAAAACACACCCATACAAATGCCCTTATCTCACCCTAAGCCCGCACAGGGCTCTACATGAATGACTCTACACTTCCTACCAAAAACAACTCTGAGAGCTATTTAGCCTCCACTGTGTGATGATTAATGGTGACAATATAAATCTTCACTTATCAAACAGGGGTATTAGTTGTAAAAGCACCCAATATTCATCTCTATCATCTTAACAAAAGAATGCTTCCAGGTTTATTTTTGGGAGCAAATGTAGCCAGAATGACCTCAATATTGTGATTTTCCTGCTTTTGCCTCCTGGGTGCTGGGATCACAGGCATGCTCAAGCCAGTATTTGTATTAATAATGAACCTGATTTAATAAAACAGAAAGTTCAATAAATCCTTGGCTATTGTGAGTTCAAGGCCAGCCTGGTCTCCAAAGCGAGTTCCAGGAAAGGCGCAAATCTACACCAAGAAATCCTGTCTCGAAAAACCAAAAAAAAAAAAAAAAAAAAAAAAAAATCCTTGGCTAATATCAAAAGGGTATTTTCAAGGTGTATGTATCAGTTATCCACCTTACCACATAGTTTCTTGTGGTAAGGCAGAACATTCCACCAACTAACTGGTCAAAGTCGTAACATTAGAAATCTACATAACATGTGTTTCATACATCACTGTCCCCATTTATCAACCTTACTTCAAAGGCACAGAAACTATAATGGACTATGAATTGCGTTTGTTCTGATAAGTGTTTCATCTGTATGTAATGCTAAAAGCTGTGTGGCTTCTGAACAGAGTCTGAGAGTAAACATCTTATTACCACATATTACCATATATATCAGCATCATATGTAGCTACACTGAAAAATTGTAGACCTCAAATTAAACTCAAAATTTAAGTTTTAGCTGACAGGAAGTACTAACACTTTTAAAAATGTAGTCTTTCACCCCGAAAGCAAGGTTTGAGAGGTTGGCACCTGAACAGCGACCAGCTTTAAGGGGGCCTGCTGTGCTAAGTGTCCAGATAATAGCTCTAAGACCTGTGTACCTGGGAGACACAAGACAGCTAGATGCTTAAAAAGAGCAAGGACATCACAAGAAAACCCAGAGAACCAACTAATCTGGGTTCATAGGGGCTCACAGAGACTGAACTGACAACCAGGGAGCCTGCATGGGACTGACCTAGGCCCTCTGCATATATGTTACAGATGTGTAACATGGTCTTGTGGGACTCTGAACAATGGGAGCAAGGATGTCTCTGACTCTTCTGTTGGCTTTTGGAACCTACTACTGATCCTGGGTCGTCTTGTCCAGCCTGAATACAAGGGGAGGTGCTTAGTCTTTACTGCAGCTTGACATGCCGTGTTTGGTTGACATCCATGGGAATGGGAGGGAAGGCCTGCCATTTTCTGAAGAGAAATGGAGAAGTGGATTGGATGGGGGGCGGGGTACAGAAGAAAGGTGGTGGAGAGGAACTGGGAGGAGAGGAGGAAGAGGAAACTGCACTTGGGATGTAAAAGAAATAAATATTTAAAAAAAAAAAAAAAAAAAAAGAACATTAGGGACATCTCACTCCAAGGAAAGAAGCTACAAGAGGAGGTGCTGCCATGTGAAGAACATTCCGGATGCATGACTAGCCAGGCAGTGTGATGTATGTAGGATAATGGAGTGGAGCACAGGTCCTCATTGTAGGGGCTACATTAATACTGTTCAGCATTGCTGCACGCAATGGTATTTGTCATTATTATTTGGACAATATCTACAGACAAGAGATTTTTGTTGCCTTTTGTTAAGGTGCTCTGGTCTTCCAAACTCTTTCTCCTCCTCCTCCTCCTCCTTTTTTTTTTTTTTTTTTTGGTTTTTCTAGACAGGGTTTCTCTGTGTTGTTTTGTTGCCTGTCCTGGACCTCGTCCTGTAGACCAGGCTGGCCTCGAACTCACAGAGATCCGCCTGTCTCTGCCTCTCCAGTGCTGGGATTAAAGGCTTGTGCCACCGCCGCCCGGCCCCTTTCTTTTTGAGATGGCTTTACCAGAGCCTTCTGAAAGAACCCACTCTTCACTAGCCCAAGTCACAAAGAATATTTCTACAGTACATAAGAGCTAGGCAGTGAGGACAAGACTACTGCATGCTCACACACCACCTATGGCAAGATTTTTCTACAGACAATGGGGAAAGTGCCCACTATAAATATATTTCCTGGTTGAACCCAGCTGTTGATCAACTCACCAAATCCCTGTGCAACACCCAGTTGGCATGAAGATAGTGAATCCCATCCAGGATCTGGTACAACAGTGACTTCACCATTCCCCGAGGTAACTGAACTGGCTTCTTGTTGGCTTTTGAAGCTCTGTGAAACTTAATTATATGCTGAAAGAAAGAAAACAGCACAAGAAGCTTTACAAACAAAAAAAGGCAGTGTCGCGCTCACCTGAGGACTGAGAACCCTACAGCACAACAGAACTAGCACACACACAGGAAGCACATCCTAACAACCGAGGTCAGCTCCATGTTTAAGATGGAATGGCATCTCAGGAAATGAAAGAAGACAGAGAGACAGGACCTAGGGTGCTCTTCATTTTAAAATATAATTAATGTTAATTACATAAGGATTCAGATGAGGAAAGAGCCTGCCTGGTAACCTGCAGAGCTTTTCCTGTACAAGTGACTAGACAACTAGAGAGAAATAAAGTACAACTTTATCAATTAAAACACTTCGCTAATTAGTGTACAGAAAAAGGTTTCTTCTTTTCCATGTTTCAAGCTCTCAATGATCTTCTTTTTTTTGTTTGTTTGTTTTTGAGACAGGGTTTCTCTGTGTAGCCGTGGCTGTCCTGGATCTCGCTCTCACAGGCTGGCCTCGAACTCACAGAGATCCGCCTGGCTCTGCCTCCTGAGTGCTGGGCTTAAAGACGTGCGCCACCACCGCCCGGCCGATGATCTTTATTGTCTGTATAACACCCGTAAATTTCAGGACCATCTCAGGTCAGCTCTGCCTCCTACACCACTGTACACTCATTTCTAGCACATACTACACAGGGGCTCTTCATCATTAAGTAGATTCTTGTGGTTAAAAAGAAAAAGAGAGTAGAAATGTGATGCTTAACATGCAGGCTAACATCTGCTTTTCTACCTGATGTTTGTTATACAGAGTAGCGAACAGAAGGAATAACTAGTAAGCTGTGAACCAAGAGGAAAATGTAGCAAAGCATCTGAAGTGAAAAGACAAACGTATTCATTGGTGCATACCTGTCTGCATTTGAACAACAGCACCAGGCTACATTAAGATTCTTCTCAGTTTTATACCTCAGATATTACTTAATAATTTAGAATATGTATCACCTACCCTAAAATGTGATTATCAAGTCTGTGTCAGTAAGAAGAAAATCCACCGACTCTCCAAATGTAATAAAGATAGGTTTAAATAGAGAGCACATTAAAGAACTAAAAGCTTCAAGCTTCCGAGAACAAAAACCAAGCAGAGGAGTTAGGATAACTGAAGGTGTATTTCTTCAGGTCACACTTCAAATAGGACAGTGATTTTTCTAAAAATGAAATATTTTAAAAACTATAAATCAATAAAATCACATAGCATGGGAATTTCTTGCCTGTATATTCTTCATATTCCAAGGCTAAAAAATCAAATGCACAGTACACAGGCTATAAATCTAAATGATTTTCAAACAACTCTTAAGTGTAACTTTTGCTGCCTTATGTCTGTCAATCCACATATAATATTCCAATTAAAGTAGAAAAAAAAGTAAAGTTGTAAGTTTTAGGGAAATGAGCTGTCCTGTTTTTATTAAAGTAATGTTAAAAATATTCATTTGCCTTCAGTAAGTACTAGTAAAATAATGAAAAAGGCAATGATGAATTACTTACACACATCAAACTGTATGCAATGTAGCTTATATGTAAAATGCTTGTTATGTCACACTGAATACGATATATAAGTACTGTCTATGTCCTTAGACATCCGCCCCTCCTGCTTTCATGTCCTATACTGTGTGACTCACTGAGTCTAATTAAGGTTGGCTGCATGAACATGGGTGATAGTAAGGCAAAGGTTTTTATTTTGTCTATTTAAGATAAGATGCATTTACAGTCTTATCAATATAGTATGAGTCTGTCCTGGTACTGGCTAAACCAGTAAACTATAATCACTCATTCAAGAAATCTTCAATACACAATTGGGTCTAAATATGTAAAAATGCCATAGGCTAAACAAACCTAGGAAACAAACCCACAAGAGACACTGCAGTCTGTTTTTGCACTAATCTTGTTTTGCAGTGCGGCTCTCACAGCAATGATTTTTCTCTATGCAAGAGTACACCAATTCAAACAGTAGAACATATTAGTGCCAGTGAAAACGGAATACATTATATTAAATATCAATTGTGAGTAACTAAGAAATCACTAATAAGTTTCGACATTTAGCTCATACAGCTTGTAACAGCTTCAGGACTATTAGGAGACTTTCCTAGCATCAAAGGACAGGGGCAGGGACAGTAGTTAGACCTGTCTATCCTTTTATAGCATGCTTACCCAACAAGTACTATTTCATTTTAAATTCCTTCACACTACAGAATAAAGGAAAATATGTTCTTTCAAAACTTAGAGCAAACAAGGTCACCTTTTAAAATCAACTCTGTAGTTAGGAAACAATGTTTTGAGTTGTTCACACTCCTTATTTCTTTACCGTCTGTTACAAAGGACAATGCGCCAGAATCAAAAAGAAATACTGGCAATCTCCCTAGTCTGAAGACCCAAAATGCTTTGACATTCAGAACTTTCTGAGAGCTAACATGATTTCACACCATGAAACATTTTTTTCATATTCAAAATTATTATAACATTGTATGAAATTTCTTTCAGGCTATATGTATAAGGTAAAAATAAAATTAAAACACAAGTGACTTTCAAGTTTAGACATGAGTTCAGCCTCTAAGATGTCTCATTCAATATATGTAAATAAGTACCCCCCACATCTGAAACACTTCTGCTTCCTAGCATTTTGGTAAGGTGATTTCTAGTCTAGTGCAGTGGAAGCTAACTGTTCAGTCGCTTTCAAGCTGACTGAAAACAACAGCCCTGTCTACCAGCAGTCCACCTTACCCAGAGGTCATGTTCAGCATAGTCAAAGAGAAGCCATACTTTCCGATCAGCATGAGACAGAAACACCTTCTGAAGAGAGATGACGTTGGGGTGCTTAAGCTCTCGAAGTAACTACAAAACAAAGGAGATTCATTCAAAATTTAACACAAAGTTAATACTAAAAAAAAAAAAAAAAAGAATCATACCAAATTAGGTGTGGTAGCACATAGCACATACATGGATACAAGGATTATGAGCATGCCCTGCTACCACCATGGCAGGCATTTCTACCTGGCTGCAAGGAACTGAACAGAGGTCTTCAATGATGAATGCTGAAGTAGAAAGACCACCTGAAGCCCAGGAGTCCACAGCCAGCTTGGGCAACAAAACAGGGCTCCATCTCAGACCCCACCCACCCAGCCCAGCAGCAATTTAAAGGCCACAAAGCCAGCGCTTACTGATGTTAAGCATTCGATAAACATTTGAAAAAGTGTGATTGCTACACAGGTGCTGTGTGACAGAAAAACCTACAGGGAACAAGATACTGAAAAGAGGATAACAGTAAATCTGTCATTTGTTGCTTGACTGGTGATTTTAATTTTTTATCAAAATTACAATCTTAGCCATTTTTAAATCCACAAATTGGTGGCATTAAATATATTCAATGCTGTAGAACCATCACTACTATAAATTTTCACCATTCCAAGCAGAAATGCTTTATCTATCAATGACCCAGCTCTAGGTAAACTTTACTACCTGTCCCTAAGGGTTTCTATGGTAGACACCTAGTGTTGGTGGATTCTCATAACACCTGTCTTTCTCATTTGTGCTGACAGGCATGTACCTGTATTCCCGGTACTGAGGAGATGGCAGGAGGAAGGACAACTTTGGGTATCACTTTTGAGGTGCCATCCATATGACTGATTCGTTTTTATGTGTATTCATGTGTATCTGTGTGTCTGCTACATGTGCAGTTGCCCATGTAGGTGAGAAGTGGGAGCCAGATCCCCAGGAGCTGGAGTTATAAGCAGTTGTGAACCACCTGATGTGGGTGCTGGTGATCAAACTCACTTCCTCTAGAAGAGCAAGTGGCACGTGCTTAGTCACTGAGCCGTCTTCCCCAACTCTTTTACTTAGTCATCCACCCATCCACCCACCTACCTGCTTACCTATCTCTCTATTTTGAGACATGTTCTCTCACTGGCCTGGAATCTGCCACATAGGCTAGGCTGGCTGGTGAGCCCCAGGGATCCATCCATCTCCACCTCCTCTGCACTGGGACTATAAGCACTGGCATGTACTACCATGCCTAGCTTTTTTTTGTAGATTCTAGGGATCAAACTCAGGGCTTTGAAAGCACCCGGCCTCATACTTAGCCTTTTGTGTCTGGCTCATTCACTCAGGATTATCTTCAAGGTTCATCCTTGTTGCAGCATGTAGCAGGGTTTTTTTTTTTTCTTCCTTTTTATAGGTGAAAACATTCTGTTGTATATAGAGACATTCCTCAGCTTATAACAGATTTACATTCTAATAAAGCCACCCGAAGTTAAAAATATCATCATCAAAAATAAATACATTTATTAAGCCAGACATGGCAGTGCATGCCTATATTCCCAGAGCTGTTCAGTGGAGACAGGTGGATCCCAAGGATTAAATTGGCCTTTAGTAGAATTTCTTTTTTTCATTTGTGAAGAACTGGTTAGTCTTTACAAAATAAAATGTTTAAATGCATCCATACTAGCTTTATTCACAGAAACCACTTGTTTCTCCAATTTTACCAATGGAGGAAAGTTTTAAATTTTTCTGAGTATATGTCTACTTTGAATATATCATTCACTATAAATTTGATTTATCCCAGTTATCATATATCATATTTAATTTAAACTTGTAAAGTACAAAAAATAGTAATATTTAAAAACATACCATGTCAATATATGTGAGAGTGAAGAGGAAGAAATTAGGTAAGAAAACTCCTAATATTTTCAAAATGACAGTGTATTCTTTTCTTTAAAAATTATGAATTTGTACGTGGGTGAGCATGTGCATGTCTGTGTACATGGGGTGTCTATGTGTGTACAGGCCAGAGGACAACCTCTGGTGTCATCCTCAGACATGCTGCCCACCTCCTGAGACATAGTCTTTCATTGGCTTGGAGCTCTCCAATTACAGTAGACTGGACAGTCAACAAGCCCCAGGGAGCCTCCTGTCTTTACTTCCTGGGCACTGAGATTACAAGCATGCCCTGCTATGACCATGGCAGGCATTTCTACTTGGATGCTAAGAACTAAGTAAAGGTATTTGTGAGCCAGGCGGTGGTGGCCCACACCTTTAATCCCAGCACTCAGGAGGCAGAGCCAGGTGGATCTCTGTGAGTTCAAGGCCAGCCAGTTCCAGGACAGGCTCCAAAGTTACACAGAGAAACCCTGTCTCGAAACACACACACACACACACACACACACACACACACACACACACACACACACACACACACACACAGTCTTTGTGATTACAAGGTAAGTACTTTACCATCTAAATCATCTCCCCAACCCTGACACTCTATTCTAACATTAACAGTTCCTAAAAGCAAAACCAAGTTCTAAATGTATACCTTAATCATGGTTAATAGTTAAACTGAACCTTACTTATGCCAAATTATTTCAAAAAAATTTAAATTGAAGAATCTTTCTTCAACCAAATTCTTAGAAACTGATAAAAACAGAGATTCTGAGTGAGGTTGGAGTGGGAAGTGCATTGTGAAAGCAGTCTAACTATGGCCCCAGCCCATCCATCAGAGGCCACTGACATCTGATGCACAGCTGGCCAGCACATGAAGCTACATGGATTCCAGTCCACAGGAATTATGGAAATGAGTGTGACAAAAAGCTCACAAGAAAATGAGAGCTTTACAATGTCCTGACTTTGGAAGACCCGCTCAAAAATTCTCTCCTGCTTCCTGAGGACTAGCTGCACGAGATCTAGGCCATGCTAATGATATGTGTCACAGTCTAGTCTGGGTAAGGGTGGCAACAAACCAAAGTAAACAACAGGAATCCTCCTAAGATTTTTATTTGTGGGGTTGGGTATTTAGCTCAGTGGTAGAGCACTTGCCTAGCAAGCGCAAGGCCCTGGGTTCGATCCTCAGCTCCAAAAAATATATATATATAGAAAAAAAATATTTTTATTTGTAATAAATATTATTAAAGAACCAGAATGAGCCGAAAGGTGGGAGTTCATGTCTTTAATTCCAGCACTTGAGAGGCAGAGGCAGGCTGATCTCTGTGGGTTCGAGGCCAGTCTGGTCTACAGAGTGAGTTCCAGGACAGCCAGGGCTGTTACACAGAGAAACTCTGTCTAAAAACAAAACAAAACAACAAACCAAAAAACCCAAACAAACAAAACACAACAACAAAAGAACCAAACCAAGTGTGTGCAGGTTAGTAACAGGAGTCAGAGAGGGTTTATAGAAGGCAGAAAGCAGGTAAAACAAAGATGAAATTCCTCTCCTTTACCTTTTGTTACACAAGGTCCCTAAGTGAAGCCTGCCGCTCAGTTCTTTTTATCTACATTCAAGTTCATTCTTCTCTTCCTCTTGACTTATTTGAACTACATTTACCAATCAGTATTTCAGTATGTATCTCTGAAAGTCTTTTTCTCTCAACACAAAGAAAATAAACAGCAGCAAACAATGATAATGTATCCAGAAAAGCCTCATGACGTATAAATTAAGTAACAGACTTCTAAATAATGGATAAAAGAGAACTGAAAATATCTTGTACTAAATAATAAAAAAATAAACACAACACAATTTGTGTCATGAAAATAAAACATAGTTTGTAGGGATTTATATTTTTAAATACTTATAGTAGGAAAGAATAGCTAAAAAGCCAATGGAGCAAGGTTCTAGTCAGCAAAGTGAAGAAACACAGGCCCAAGGAGAAGAGATAAGAGGAGAGCAGATGAAGCAAACGCTCATGAAGAGGTGACAGGGTGGCTGGAGAAGCGGCACTTGTAAGGAGCAGCAGGAAGCGTGCGAACAACTCCACACTAGTAACTCACACTCAATGACAGAAGTGTAAAATCTCAAGAACTCTATCAAGGAAATAAACTGGTGGGTAAATTCTATTAAATGCTTAAGAAGAAATACCAATTAAATGCTAATATCAGAAAACAGAGGATGAAAAATAACACCCTACTTCATAAGCAAAGTTGTAACAATCTCAGTATCACAACCTGACAGAAACACTGTATAAGAAAGGACAGGATAAGCCAGCATCCCACAAAGTCAGATTAAAAGTCCTTAATGATGTATATGCCACTTAAATCCATCAACGTAAAATATAACATGGGCTGCCTCAGGAATGAATCAATAAATTCAAGGAAATGAGTATAATTTATCAATTTAACATAAGGGAGACAATATGGTCACTTAAGTATACGTGGAAGAAAGCATGTGATGAAACAGTATGATAATGGAAAATTCCTCCAGAAACCTGTATGAAAAGGATTTTTTCTAGGCTCAACTGATGGCAGCTATGGAAAGTCCAGAGCTAACATCACACAAAATGGTGAAACTGAAAACACTCCCCTCAAGATGGCCTGAGAGTGAAAGCTGCCGACTCCTATCAGCACTGAGTATTCTGTGAGCGCCTAGCCTGCACGAAAGCATGATGGGAAAAGGAAAAGGGAAAAGCGCAGAGATGGAGGAAAGTGTAGCCATCCTACTAGAAGGCCCAAAGGAACCACCAAAAACATCCTAGGGAATTTAGAAAGGGTTATACAATATAAGAGATAACAAAGAAAAGTAATTCTACTTTAGAATACAGCAGGAAAAAAACCCTGAAAATCACAATTTAAAATAATTCCATTTCAGTATGAAGGATGAAATTAACAGAGGTATATAAAGTCTTTAAGGTCTGTAAAAAATAAAATATTAAAAGACATCTTATAAAATGCAAAGTATGCCTTTCCATTAACTTTAAAGTTACAATATTAAGGTATCAATTCTCTCAATCAAAGTATGATTTATTGATCTAAATCATAATTCCAGAAGGCAGTCTTTAGAAATTGAATGGGCCGGGCGGTGGTGGCGCACGCCTTTAATCCCAGTACTCGGGAGACAGAGCCAGGTGGATCTCTGTGAGTTCGAGGCCAGCCTGGGCTACCAAGTGAGTTCCAGGACAGGCGCAAAGCTACACAGAGAAACCCTGTCTCGAAAAACCAAAAAAAAAAAAAAGAAAAGAAAAGAAAAGAAAAGAAAAGAAAAAAAAAGAAATTGAATGGACTAGCCAACTAACTAACTAAATATACATACACACACACACACACACACACACATATGGCTGGATGGATGATGTATCAACAAAGGACCTTAAATAGCCCAAATAACCCCAACAAAAGATAACGCTAACGGCTTTGCCCTGCCGATGGTCTCTAATCTGGTAGTACCGGCGGCAGACTAGACGACGACAGTGGTATAGACGGTACAGAAACAGACCGTACTTAGACAGTCCTTGAATCTTCTGATCCAGGAAGATTTCTTTATCCAAAATAGAGAAAAGTCACAAAAGGGAAGTTATAAATGGACTGCATTAAAAATTCCTCCCCAAGTTAAAATGTAGAATAACTTGATTTCTTTCTTTTTTTCGAGACAGGGTTTCTCTGTGTAGTTTTGGTGCCTGTCCTGGATCTCTCTGTGTAGATCAGGCTGGCCTCAAACTCACAGACATCGGCCTGGCTCTGCCTCCCAGGGCTGGGATTAAAGGCGTGTGCCAACGCCGCCTGGCCTTAACTTGATTTCTTTATGTGTAAATGCATTTACATTTATTGAGATATAGGTAAGCATGAGCACATTAGATCCAAAATTCAATTGAGTTTATCTACAAAAACATTTTGTAGCTGGGCATGTTGGTACAATCCTTTAGTACCAGCACTTAGGAGGCAGAGTTTTGAGGTCAGCCTGGTCTAAATAGCAAGTTTCAAGATAACCATGGCTGCATAGTGACCCTGTCTTTAAAAAACAAACAAAAAAACCATTTTGTCATTTGTTTGGTGGTAGATAAATATGTAAAATACATTTGTTAGTGAGTATAAAATATAATGTGAAGCTTCACAATTTCTTTTTTAAATGCCAATTCCAACTATATATAAGTTAATTAAGTTGTATAGACTTTGGATGTGATTAATTTTAATGTGATGTTTTTATTTAATTGCCAGTAAACTTTTAAAAAGTAATAAAAAATAAATAAATGCATGGTCACGAGATGGCTCAGAAGGTGATTCCTGGGTCCTACACAGTAGAGAGAACCTACTCTTGCAGGCTGTCCTTTGACTGACTATACACATACCATGGAACAAATAAATACACAAACCACAAATGTCAAAATCAGTGAATTCTCACATATTAAACTCTTGGGACCAAACCCAGATCAAAAAAGACCCCAAACATTATCAGCACTAAAAACTCCCCTTGTCCCTTCCAGTCACTTTATTTTCACCATTAGTCCTAATTAGCCTAACTTCTTTAATGAATTTTAGTTTGTTAAGACTGACCTGTGTAAGTAGAATAGAGCTTAATGAACTATCACTGATATATAAATATCTTATCTTAAGAGTCAAGAGTGGGAAAAATTGGGCTGGAGAGATGGCTACTCACTCTACCAGAGGACCCAGGTTCAATTCCCAGCACCCACATGGCAGCTCACAACTTTCTGTAATCCAACTCAATGTGACTGGACACCCTCGTACAGACATAAATGCAGGCAAAACACCATGGCACATAAAATTAAAAAAAAAATCATTAAAGAAAGAGTGGGGAAAAAACAGTTAACTGAAATTCACCGAACATGGAAAAATACCTTAGAAGTCACACTGGAACGAGTGGCTGGACACAATTAGGGAAACAAAAGGATCTAGATGGTTTACCGCTCGCTGTCAGCTGCTTCTCCAAAGTCCACATGATCCACTTGCTAACTGCCCCAATGAACTAGCTGGAGATTGGTTTTGGTTTCCGCTGCGTACTCCTCCACTGTTCCATGTTGATTCCACCGTAAAATTCTCTTAAGGTTCTCAGAGCCACATCTGTAGGAAATTCACTGATGGAGACACTTGCCTCCACCCTGGGAGCCGAGCATAGCTGAAAGTGCCTCGGTCCTTCCACAGCTGCTGTGGACAAGTAGCCACTGCTGCCCACTAGCTAGGCTTGTTTGGTGTCTGGAGCACTGCTTGGAGTTTGTATATTTCTAGGTCTCTTGTTGGCATGCTGAGGGCTGTCCCAAAGGTTTGTGACCACTGGGGGGCCCTCTGTGCTCCTTATAGTGATGTAGCATCTGTATATTTTTAGAAAAAAATTGGGGATGGTCTGAGCCAGCATCTACTGCCAGCCACAGTGGCAGGACATAGAGGGAAGGATTAACCAAAACTAAGGTTGCATAAAAAAAGCCATATAGAAACCTTTGTTTTAGTTTTATTAAAGAATATAATTAAAACAGTTATAGCCATTTGCCTATGCCCTTTGGACTCTGGATAAGCAATTAAAGGTCAAATTAAATAGTCCAAAACTAATCTTCTAAGTTGATCAATGTAAATTTCAGTCTCACATTTGAAATGTTATGTTCATGATGCTCAGATGTATGGTTAAAATACATAAATGTGTACAAATTATTTGTTAGCTGTAATAAAATACTATCCATGAAAATATAATTTTAAAAACCCTATTTAATGGAGTGACTCTACTTGAGTAGATTAAGCTCCTCCCAGTGCTCGGGGTGTGTGTGTGTGTGTGTGTGTGTGTGTGTGTGTGTGTGTGTGTGTGTGTGTGTGTCTCCAAAATGATATAGGCTATTGCCTGTTTTGGAATATTACTTTAACTATGTAAAGGTGTGTTACATTTGTTTATGCTGCCTTTGTTAATGATATAAAGATGTGTTGCATTGACTGGCTAAGGAACCTGATTGGTCTAAAAAAAAAAAAAAAAAGCTGAACAGCTAATAGCTAGGCAGTAGAGAGATAGGAGGAGCTGGAGAGGGGAGGGAAGAGGAGGGAGGGGAGAGAGGGGAGAGGAAGAAGGAAGGGAGGGAGGGAGGGAGGGAGGGAGGGAGGGAGGGAACCGCCTGGGGCCAGCTAGGCAGCCAGACACAAAGTAGGACATATAGAATGAAAGAAAGGTAAAAAGCACCAAGGCAAAACTCCGATGAAGAGAAACAGGTTAAAATAAGAGCTAGTGGGACAAGCCTAAACTAAGACTGAGCACTGATAACTAATAATAAGTCTCTGTGTCTTTATTTGGGTGCTGTTTCATGGCCCCAGAAGAAGGCCTGCTACAATTGCCATGCTCTGGGTTGCTCAAGAGAAATGGCTAGGTCCTGAAGACACCATGAAGATAAATCCCTTGCCAACTGTCTACTCAACAAGCATTCTTTCCTTTTCCCATATATTTCTATCACAACACCAGGCTCACTAATTTATACTGTTAAGTTTTATGAGTCTCTTTTCCCAGTAGTGTAAAAATACTCAGACTCAGAGACTCAAATTTATGTTTCTTCATTTTTCCTACTTTAATGTCTTGTCAAATGACCATCCTTTGAAGAAACATTAGCATGAATCTATGAACTGTGTGATTATTTAAATGAGTATTTCTAGATTATAGTAGTCACATTTATGTACGGACAGGAAAACTAAAGCAATAACACAGGCAGAGGCTGGGATACATACCCATGAAGGTCTGACTATAGAGTCAGGAAACATACATTTGGAACCACAGTTTTTTAAAAATTTATTATCAGCCAGGCTGTGGTGGTGCGAGCCTTTAATCCCAGCACTCAGGAGGCAGAGCCAGGCGGATCTCTGTGAGTTCGAGGCCAGCCTGATCTACAGAGCGAGTTCCAGGACAGGTACCAAAGCTACACAGAGAAACCCTGTCTCAAAAAAAAAACCCAACACATAAAAGAAATAATAAAAGTAATAATAATAATAAATTTGTTGTCATTGTGCATGTGTTTGCATCACAGCATTTTTATGAAGGTCAGAAGGAAATCAGTGGAACTGGTCCTCTTACTCTACCACGCAGGTTTGGGGACTGAATGAACTCAGGTCACATAGCTTGGCAGTAAGCACCGTTACCTACAGAGCCATCTCAATAGCTCAGAGCCACAGCTTTATAAGAGTAAAAACGCAATCTCAGAGATGCAATGTTTAGTTTAAGTGTATGCATAACTACTAACTGTATTAACATGAGAATGCTTCCTCTGGAGTAAGGAGATTCTAATTACCACACGGAAAGCTGTGTTTCCAAAAGAAAAATGGACACAGCGATAAGAAAACAACAGAACCTCAATTTTAACTGGTGTACGTGAAGACATCAATCCCACTCCTGCCATGGCTTTATATAAAAACTGTCATTGACCAGAATTAAGTAACAACAGGAACTTTAAAAATTAGTGATATTTATTGGAGGAGGGTGTTCATATAAACAACTGAAATTAATTTTACCCCAAATAAATAAATGTGCACATTGCAAGAACTTCATGACATCTTTACTTCTCCTTAAAATTTTTTTTCTGTGAACACTTGTTTAGAAAAATATTTATCAGCTTTCAATTCATATGATGGAAAATACAGCAGAGACCTGCATACTCTTATGTCAGCTGATATGGTAATAACAAGAACTTCACTTACTGCTATTTCTCTGCATGCTGACATAGAGATTCCAGTTCCTTCTATTTGTTTTAAAGCGTAGTCTTTATCGTCCTTCCTGTAAAAACAAAATTATTTTAATATACAGGTAGCTCTATGTTTACATGCACTTTAATATTAAGTACTACATAAAAATAAAAACATGTGCTTAACACCAACATCAGTCAGGAAAATCATCTTAGATATGTAGGTCAAGGCAATTACTTGTGGAGGGGTGTTAACACCAGAATGCAAAGCCTTGTCTGGGACTCCAGTTACTTGTGAGGACAGAGTCAGACATCGCTCTCCGGATTCCTAGAGACAAGTTTCCTTCTAATTATGAAATAAAGCTTGATTTCTAAAACCAGTTTCCATGTCAAAGGATTAGAAAAGTCAAGATATACCACTAATTCACAAAATGGTTGTAACTTTAAAGACAAAACCCATTATAATCATATTCTTATGGTGTATAACTTAGGTCACACCCAAGCACCTTTAAGAGACATTCTCTTAGCACCTATTTCTAAGTATTATGTACCAAGAACTGTTCTAAAGCCTGGGAACACACCAGGGTTCAACCTATTACAGTTGTGTTATCTACTGTCTTGGTAACTAATCTGCTATCACACAATGCCAGTGCTACAACAGGCCAAGTGTAAATCCAAAGGTTTTCTGACTTAATCCAGGGGTGACTCTGACAAAGACCCAAGCAAAGACTTCTCAGAAGTATCATCTACCTGGGGGGATGGCTCAGGCTTTGGGGACTCTGATGCCCTTTATTTTCCTGAGGACCCTGAAGAAGACCAAGAAACAGAAAAGTTGAAGAATATCCCACTTTGATGACTTTTATTAAACTGAACATAAAGTCATACCTTAACAGGAAATGCAGCGGGGTGGGGAGCGTACAGTGAGGGACTGATTGAATCAACCCCTTGTTAAAAAAAAAAGTTAAGGTCACTTAATGTTTTATTCTTTTAAGTTATTTTTAAAACTTACATTTTTCTTTTACAACATATTTCTACCAAATCCTCAGGTACACAAATCTCAATTATTCAATTATGACAGTATTTACCATGGGAATTGTTTTATGATAATAGATTTTACAACATACTTCATAGTAAAAGCTCCATAGGCCTCATAATATAAGAAAGATATTCTGTACTTTAATACTCACTAATTCTAAATGGTTTTTCAAAGTCCAAAATAAGACATAAAAATAAACACACTGGGACCAAGGTAAGTCTGCTAGACACATTTATATGCAGGGTAGTAACTGATTAAATATTATACAATATATTCTGCATTTTCAAGGTAGAAGATGAGTTGGAGGCCAGCCTGGTCTACAGTTAATTCTAGGATAGCCAGAGCTACACAGAGAAACTGTCAAAAAAAAAAAAAAAGAACAAAAACAAAAACAAATTTTATATAAGCTTAAACAAACAGACTTTTTTTTAACATGGTAATACTTGAAGCTGGGAAAAATGTAAATGACTGAATATATAGGATAAGCCTCCAAGTACATAAAATTACCTTACAGGGCACTATTATAATATTGGACAGCCATCTCTTACTATTGCTGGGAGTCAAAAGTTATACTTGGCCTGGTGGTGGCACATGCCTTTAATCCCAGCACTGAGAGGCAGAGGTAGGTGGATCTCGAGGCCAGCCTGGACTACTCAGTGAGTTCCAGGAAAGGTGCAAAGCTACACAGAGAAACCCTGTCAAGTACAGAAGAAGGCGCTATACTCAGCCCTTGTGTTGTCCAAAGATTAACTGCATGCAACATCTAACACTTAGGAACTTCTTAAGTGCCTAGTGGGGACCAGCAATGAACATTTTCGAAACAAACATGAATTTGGAGAACTTGGTTCTCAATGCCAGTTGTGGAGCAAGTCTTGGACTAATTCCAAACTGTGAGAGATTATAAAAAACTGAGGGAGGACTCTAGGCAGGCAGTGGTGGTGCACACCTTTAATCCCAGCACTTTGAGGCAGAGGCAGTTGGATCTCTGTGAGTTCAAGGCCAGCCTGGACTACAGAGTGAGTTCCAGGCTACATGGAGAAACCCTGTCTTGAAAAACCAAACAAACAACAATAAAAAACCCGAGGGCTCTCCTCCTCAGATGTGGTATGGAACTGAAGTTCTGTGTACAAATAAAGAATGATCAACTATAATGACATACAACAGAATATTCCTTACACTTACACACACACACACACACACACACACACCAGCACAACTCCACAATTTTGTTTGTTCTCAATTTCCTTATCTGTTCCCCTCCAAAATAATTAAAGTGTTAGAAATATATAATCTATAGCTGCCACATCTTTATTAATTAGTTCATGTATAGAAAATTCAAATACAAGAAATTAGTTAAAAAATAGGAAAAACCCACAGGTTACCTGAAAAATCTTGATTTTTCTAGGCAATCAAAGAGGTTTAGAAAAGCTATAGATTTTGTGTGTAGCTTTTGGAAGGCCAAGACCCACTCCCCTCTCTGTGAACTGCAATACTCTAATTCAGTGCTGCAGTTTATTGAGGATCTCAGGGCAGTGCTGACAACACTCTTGGACAGTACGCAGGAGCTCCTGAAGCAGATGAAGCAAAGCTTTCTTGTTACTTTCTGTGAAGTAATTAAAGCTAAAAATACAGCATTCCACATGCAAGGGAAATCCAGATTGGAAACTGGCTTCCCACTGGCTGCCAACAGAGCCTCCTCACTGAACAAAATCTGAGCAAGCCACTGACGGCCTTACTAGTCTAACAGTTAGATACCCACGCCATACCGAGGCAAACAATACTTAGCATTAGCTAAAAAGCTATAGAGGAAAATGTAGGTGATGGAGAAAGGTGACTCGATGACCTCAATGCTCCTTTAATTCTAGATCACATAAGAAATGTCTAAAAAAAAAGAAGCACTAAGGAACAACTTTGTAAATACTGGCTGACAACACTAGGAAATTACCACTGATGGTCAACAAACTACTTAGTGGCCTGCTAATAACCCCAAGACATTCCTCACTTCACCATCCTCAAGGACTTAACAGAGTAACAGTCTTCCATACTTTGTGATGTTATAAATTGGGTAACTTGATTGTGGAAGGGGGATCTACAGTGCAAAACAAATCACCACCGTAAATGTTCTTCTAGTGTTTCTCTCCTTAAAATCTCCAAGGTCACATAAGTAGGCCATACCTAATTTGGACATTGTTTATGGATGTCTTTATCTAAATAAAATCAGACTTTTTGTAAACAAAGGGGGCATGGAGGTAAAAACACAACTCTCACCTCAAAGAGAGTAAGAGACAGTTTATTCTAGAACCAAACATGAGTGACTGTGTCCTGGAAACACGGACTCATGTTACCCTGAGTGTCAGTCCAACTCCAAATCAGTTCCATGAAGTTTTATATAAGAGAACAAATCAAATCATAAACCAAGGTAGTTTTAAAATACACTGGTGGAAACATCAGAGAGCTGGGTCACTGCAAAGCTGGGGAATCTCTGCTCTAGAGACACCTGATGCTGTCTGAAAACACTCTTAGGTTTGTAGAAGCCAAGTGCCTGTGAGGTCACACACTGAGGTAGGCAATAAATGGCTCCGGGTAGAAGGCTAAAGGTAGCCTAAGATAACTTTGGCTTTGGACTTGCAATATTCCAACCTCTTCACATCACTGAAGTTCTAATCAAGTCAATATTTGTAGTTGCAGCTTCTTTTCTGCAACTTTGTCCTGAAGGAAAAAGATCTACTGATAATTGTACATTTGTTAAGACAATCCAAACACCTGCCGGCTTTAGGCCACACCCCCTGGCAGTAGACGCTAACAGGAACACTGCACAGACAATGGAAAGGGCTCAGGAGGACTCAGGATCTCAGAGTTGTAAACAGACTGTATCTCTGCCTCTGTATCCCTGCTGACCTGTAGACCCCAAACCCAATGTTTTTGTTTGTGGAGACAGACCTCACGGTTGTTCATACTGTCCTAAACTCACTATGGAGCTTGGACTGGCCTCAATCTCTGAGCAATCCTCCTGTTCCAATCTCTTAAGTACGGAGATTACAAGTTATAAGCACGATGCCTGACCCTCATACATTCTATCTATACCATCTCCTGAACGCTGAAGGTTGCATGTATTTTCCGATTATCTTCTTTAATGAGATCTCCCTTAGGGGAGTGAGCAGTTCCTCAGGACAGCCCTGCTCTGAGATTTTCCATAAGCACCCTTCATGTTTTCGGCAAGTCCTGGAGCAGAATCATAATCTGCGGCATCTACTCCAGTGGACCATCAGATGATGTTGTCTGAAAACAGGAATAGGCAGACCCTCACACTCGAGTACTTTCCTACCTTAGCTCAGAGAAGACATGAGGCAATTTGAGACGGTATATGCCCAGTACACATAACTAAGAGATAATAACAAAGATTCACTGACCATCAGAGGCAGAAGGTTGCCATCATCCCATAATGGGTATTAGAGGGCTTAACCAAGTTCTTGATATCCAAGTCTGTTTGCTGGGTCCAATTTAAAATGAGAATTCAGCAGCTTCCTTCTCTGAACTTTGTAGTGGGTAGCCATTCCAGCTTTGATCTGGAAGTTCCAACCCCCATTGAGGCTTCGGTAACTATCACGCCTACAAGGCGGGGCCAAGAGAGGGCCCTGAAGACCCGAGATCCGGATGTGCCGCCCTCTCTTAGTTCCTGGACCCTGGACACTAGAGGTAGACCTAGCAGAGTTCTCCAGAGAACACCGCTGGACTGCGTTACATCTTCCCCAGACCCTGCGACCTACCTATCCCTTCATTTGTAAGTTATGCCACTAATAAACCTCCCTTTTAACTACATGGAGTGGCCTTAATGATTTCACCAATAGAACTTATCTAGTTATCTTAAGAATTTCCAGCTACTCATACGTTTTGGCATTGCTTCATGGAAACCAGAGATCAAAAGCTTCATGACACGGGGTCCAATAACCACTACCCATTTCTTCTGAGAAAGTCAGAGTACACCCAACTAATGAGGCTTCTATTGACTTGGTTTCAAGGTCTTTTTTAAAATTATATTTTATTTTTAGTTATGTG